AAAAAAAAAAAAAAAAAAAAAAAAAAAAAAAAAAAATTTTCTTAATATTTGGATAATAAATGTTATAAGATTTTATATACCAACTTTTATGCTATTTATGGCAATTTTTTTTCTTTTAATTTTTTATCATTCTTTTTTTTCATTTTTAATATTGTTTTTAGTTTTTTCTTATTTTTTTTTTTTTTTTTTTTTTTTTTTTTTTTTTTTNTTTTTTTTGCAAATTGTTATTTGTTTTATTTTTCACTTTATTATTTATTTTGTTTTATTTTGTTTTTATTATTGTTTTTGTTTTATGTTATCTGTTTCAAATTATTTGTTCTTTGTTCTGTTTCATGTGTTCTGTTTTTTGTGTTCATTAAAAAAATTTTTTTTTTTTTATATATATGACTTTATATAATATAAATGAGTTATTTTATTTCTCTTTATAAAATATAATTCATTTATTTTTAAAATATATAAACAATTTTTTTCAGTTTTATTTTTCTAATGAGTTTTGTTTAAGAAAAAAACAATTTTTAGTATAATTCACTGATATTTTCTGAATTTACGTATTTTTTAAATATATATAAGAAATTTTTCTTATAAAAGTTTTATATAGAGATGAAATGCAAATAGAATTAAAATACTTTAAAAATTTTATCTTATACAATTAACATATGTACATTAAATAATAAACTCAATGTTTTTTACATAATCCCAATTTTTTTTTTTTTTTTTTATTTATCATATCATTACAATTTTTTTACTTATAAAATGTCAAATAATTATTAATATATCGTTTAACGAAATAAACACCGCTTTTTTAGAAATATTTTAATAAAATAAGAATATTTTATTTGTATTTCCGATATAGGCTTTTATTCATATATGTATACAAAAAAAAAAAAAAAAAAAAAAAAAAAAAAAAAAAAAAAAAAAAAAAAAAAAAAAATTCAACACACACAATATTTAAGAATGTTTAAAAATACAAAATTAGTTTAAATAAAAATTAAAAAATAAATCATATGAAAAAAAAAAAAAAATTATATATTTATACATAATATATATATATATATAAATATATATATATATATATATATATATATATATATATATATATATATATATAAATATATAAATATTTATATATATATGTATAAATATTTATATATATATATATTTATATAAAAATAAGAATATAAAAATAAAATAAAAAAAAAAAATAGTATAACTGGATGACTTTTATTAAGATTTGATTAATATTTATAGCTGTTTATAAATTTACATGCAAATTTTTAATTGAAAAAAATTGAATATAAAATTTTTAGAAGTATTTTTTCATATATTTTTATTTCTGTTAAATATAAATATATATATATATATATATATATATATATATATATATATATATATATTTATTAAAAAATTTAATTATGGAAGAATATAGAAACAATAGTGAAGAAAGAAAAAAATCAGAAGATATTTGTAAAAAAAAGTTAAGTGATTTAAAAAAGAATTTTGTTATTGATTATAAAAACTCTAAGCATGAGTTCATTTTTTTAAAAGAAAACGAAAACAAAAAAAGAGAAATTGATGAAGATAATTTTTATATTGAAAAAAAAATAAAAGATAATAAAATGCCTGACTCAGTATATAATAAAGAAAAAAGTGAGTCAATTATTGACTTTGATAATATTGATGTCAGTGAATACAAAAATATTATAAGTAATTCATACAGTTCAGATGATTGTGATGATCAGTCAGATGATAGTAGTCAAAATGGAGAATTACTTGAAAGTTATGATAAAAGAAAATCACATATTTTTCAAAAACATGGTGATGACAGTCTTAAAAATATATCTGATATAAACCCTCAAAATGTAAATATGAATAATAAAAAAAATAATGAAGCGCTTAATTTAGGAAATCATGAAAAAAAGAAAAATAATGAAATTGAAAATCTAAAAACATCTGAAAATATTGAAATCTTGAAAACGGATGAAATCATTAATACAAATAATAAAATAAATTTAAATACTTATTTATATGTTAGATTAAAAACTAATGATTCCACTAATAATATTTTTAAATGTAGGATAGATAGAAATATAACTGTAAAAAAATTGAAAAAATGCTTGAAAAAAATATTGAATACTGAAAATGAGTACAGAATTATATATAGAGGTAGATTATTAAAAGATATGGAAAATTTATCGAAGTATAATATAAAATTTAATGATATCATATATGTAATAAAACTTAATAGAAAAAAAAATGGAAATGATGTAGCATTAGATTCTGGAATTACAAGTTCTCAGCTGAGTACAATAAAAGATGAATATAATGATTTAGGAAAATTTTCAGATAACGATAACATATCAAAATTAATTTCGTATATGTTTGATCATAGTGATTTTATTAAATCAATAATGGATTCAAATAAGCAACTTCAGAAGTTAAGAGAAAAAAATCCAGATTTAAATCATATGTTAAATGACTCACAAGCCTTAAAGCAGTCATTTGAAATGATTAAAAATCCATCTTTAATGAAAGAATTAATGAGAAACACTGATAGAGCAATAAGTAATATAGAAGCTATACCTGGTGGGTTTAATACCTTGAGAAGAATGTATCATAATATTCAAGAACCAATGTATTCATCAAATGATAGATTAAATGAAAAAAAAATGAATAAAATAAAACAATATGACTTAAACTCATCATCTCCTCCTACAAGTGAAGCTTTTCCTAATCCATGGGCCACAAAAGAAAAAAATTCTAAAAATCAAAATAGTTATAATAACCTTGAAAAATGTCTTCTTATGAATAATAATAATCCTTTTAATAATAGTAATGATATGTTTAAAATGAATAATAAGAATAATGAAGATAAATTGAATAATAATATTTTTAAAACTAATATAATTGATTTATTACAGAAATATCAAACTCCTTCAAATAAATCAAATAATATAAAATATGATAAAAAAAATATTTTAGCAAATAATGAAGTTGAGAATAAAAAAATTATGCCAAATAACGGAGGTTATGAAAACAATTTAAACTTATTTAATAGTGCATTTTTTAATAATAATATTATTAATAACATAATAGAACAAAACAAAAAAAATGAAAATACAAATATTAATAAATCGAGCAACTCTAAAGTAAATAATGCGTCCAATTTATTAAATCATATAATTTCAAATTTAAATAAAAATTTGAATATAAACGATTTAGGATTCAATAGGAATTCACATAAAAATGTAGACGATGGCCTGAGTGTATTTAATTCTCCAAATAATGCTACTAATTCTATTCTTAGTAATAATAATAATAATAATAATAATAATAAAAATGATAACACAAAGGAAAATGATAATACTATTTCTTTGAATAATAATAGTGAATGTAGAAAAGACTCTGTTGAACTAGAAAAAAATGTTTTATCTGATTTAGTGACATTTACAAAAGATGATAATAATTTACATAATCAAAATATTGATACTTCTATGAATGTAATTAATAAAAAAGAAGATATAAATAAAAGTAATGAAACATCTGATAATTATAAAGATAGTTTAAATATTAATATAAATAAAATTAGTGAAAATATAAATATTAATAATGAAAATATTAATAATGAAAATAGTAATAATAAAAATAGTAATAATAAAAATAGTAATAATAAAAATAGTAATAATGAAAAATCAGTAAACGAAAATAACTCTAATTTAACACCCAATTATGTTAATAACGAAAATAGAAAAGAAGAAATTTCTAATAATATTGATTTAATGGAGAGTAAAGATAATGAAAATAACAAAAATTTATATAACTTAAATATAGTTGATCAAATGAATAACTTAGAAATAAAAAATATTGCTGAAACAATAAAATTATTAAGATGTGGCAATAATAACATGAATGAACAAAATTTTTACAAATTATATGCTGAAGAATTAAATTCATTAAAATTAATGGGATTTACAGATACACAAAAATGCATAAAGGCGTTAGTTGACACAAAAGGAAACATAGAAAGGGCTATTGATTTACTATTAGATGATATTAATTCAAATAAAAATTAAAAAAAATCTTTTTTTTTTTTTTTTTTGTATAATTCATTTTAAAAAAATTATATTTTTAAGATGAGTATTTGAAAAAATATTTTTTTTGGAGAATATGAGTTTCTTTTTATTTGATATAAAAAATTATTTTTTTCAAAATGGATACCATTTACCTCAATAGAAATTAAAAAATTAACAATTAAGATAAACATTTTATCTAAGTTTTATATATGAAATTACTTAAAATGTTTAAAAAAAAAAAATATATTTTTTTTTTTTTTTTTCATAAACGCATAAAATATACCTGTTCTAGTGTTAATTTAGAAAAAAATATATATATTTAATGAAATAATTTTTTTTAATTTAATTGATTTTGAGATATAATTCCAAAAGTTGATTTTAAAAAGAAAAAAAATATACTGAATTTTATTAATATTTATTTTTTGCAAATATAGAGCTTTTTTTTTTTTAATTACCTAATTTTTAAGAAAAAAAATTTTTTTATAAAGAGAACCTGCATATATAAATTTGATTTTTCATTATTTGTTCTATTTTTTTTTTTTTTTTTTTTTATACATATAAATTTTTATAATTAAGTTTTATGTACTTTTAATTTTTCTAATTTTATAAAATATTTAATATTTTAAAATTGATTTTTATTTTCATATAAAAGAGAATATATATATATATATATATATAATATTTAAGATTTCATTTTATTATATTTTTTTTTATACATTTTGGATTCTAGAAAAAGGTAAACAATAATAGGTGTTATATATATGTTTTTAAGACGTATTGTTTTTATTATATTTACAAAAGAATTACACTACTTTTATGAAAAGAACATTTTTATATTTATTAAAATGAAAATAAACTTATAATAAAAATACTTAATATAATTACATTATGAAAATTCAAGAAATAAAAAACTATTAAAAAATAATGAGTAAAAATGATATAATTTTTTTTGAAGTTTGAAATTTAAAAAAAAAAAAAAAAAAAATCATGATTACATAAATTTAGTTTTAATTCGTAAGTTTTAAAAATTAACTGTAAATATTATTAACTTTTTTTTAGAATTAAAAAAAAAAAAAGAAAAATGAAAAATAATGTCTAATTTCTTATCTAATATAAAATAATGAAGAATATGAAAATAAAAGAAATAAAAATTAAAAGTAGATAAAATATAAATCTTTTTATTACTGAATAAATACCAAATAAAAAAAGGTAAAAAAAAAGTTGCAAAAAAAAAAAAAAAAAATTTTTTAATAATTTTTTCGTTAGAAAGACCTAAAGCTATTATAAATCATATATGAATTTAATTTTAAGATATTTCAAAATATTTGAGAATGTAATTTTTTTTTTTTTTTTTTAAATTAAAAGCATTTAAAATACTAATTCTTGTAAAATAAAAATAAAAAAGAATTATTTAATTACGTCTATATTTACACAAGGTGTTTTAAAATAGAAAGTAATTCATTAAAAAAATATAAAATAATTTTGATTTTATAATAATAAAATAAATTACTCTTTATAATATGGAAAATAATGTCTTTTATAGTAATAAAATGTTTATACCTTTGCATAATTACAAATAAGATGAGGATTTAATTAAAAACTTATACAAAAGATTAATTTTTAATTTAATAATTTTTCATTTAGTAAAATATTTTATGAAATAATTTTAATTTTTTGAAAATGTGTAATATAATGGAACAAAATTATTATATAATAATGAGACATGTATATTATGTCTGATTAAATTTGCAAGATAGGATATGATTTAAATACTGATATTGAAAACCAATCCATTCGCAACATTCATTTGGGCACCTAACTTTAATATTACAATGAAATTTATATAATAAAGCCATAGCACCTTTTGAATTTTTATCAATTTTAATAATTCTCTCTGAAAAAGATAAAGAACAATTAGGACATTTTATATTTTCTTGATTTTCTTCATTCATAATATAACTTCTTAAACAATCAGAACAGCAAGATGCATAACAACAGGGAAATAATCTGGGTTCATATGATAAATTAGTTTTACAAATAGAACAAATAAATTCTTCTACATTTAAAATAAGAATAGAAGATGGTATCTTAAAGGTAGTTTCTTTTTCTCTTTTTGAATAAGAATCTTTTTTTGCCCAAGTTGCTCTAACTCTACTACCTCTAATTCGAACTAAACCAGAAGTTGTTGCATTTAAAGTTCTTTGAGCTTCTAAATTGGTAGCAAAACGAACAAACGCATAGCCTGAGGTTGCTGTCCATTCTTTATTAGGATGTCTTGATTGTTTATCACAAACAACCATAGTTAAATCAACGTTCCCAAATTTACTAAAGACGGCCATCAAGTCTTTACGTGTAGTATTGGGTGGAACATTAACTATTAAGGTAAATTTAGCCAAAGAATTTTTACTTTTACTATCTGTATCTTTTGAATTTGTTTCTTCATTATTATCATTGCAATTAATATTATTGTTATTATTTATTGAATAATCAAAATATTTCATTATATCTTCATATTTGGCTTTTTTTTCATCTATTAAACTATCTGGAAAAATGTAATCTTCATAAAATTTGTTTTTAAAATTAAATTTGCTATCTGTACATGAATTTAGGAAATCATCATTTTTATTAATCAAATTTGAAACTAAATTATATGAATTCAAATTTTCAGATAATAATAGTTTCCCATTAGATACATGTTTACTATGGTTGATATTATATATATTCATTGTATCTTTATCAAAATTTTTATTGCTTATATCTTTTGAATTCATTTTGTTATTTAAAAATATCCTTTCATCTATCTTATCTAAAAATATTAATTTCTTACTATTCACTGTTTCAGAATTTCTAAAATTATCTATTACCGAAAATGAATTATAATTTTCATTATTCATAGAAGAAGAAATGGTATTACCTTTATCATTTAATGATTCCGATATATAATCATTTTTATTGTTTTTTAATACTTTTATTATACTTATTTTATCTATGTCACTTAACTTGTCTAAGTTCTCATTATTATTATATATTCTATCTAATGTTTTATCTTTTATATAAATATTGTTATTTTCTTTATAATTTTGAAAAATGTTAAAGTTTTCATTTGTATTAGATTCTACATTTTCATTAGTCTTATTAAAAGGATCATAATCAGTAAATATGAAACTGTTTTCTTTTAATAAATTTTTTTCTAAAAGTTTTAAATTAGCATTACTTATCGTAATACCATTATTATCTTTAAAATTGTAATTATTTTTATATTCATTAATGTATTCACTAAAGTTAAATGATATATTATTGAAATTATTAGTATTCTCTATTGTTGTATCATTAAGATAACAAAGATTTTCTCCTTTATTTGAATTAATATTTTTTTTATTTCTTTCTTTTTCAAAAAATAAAACTTCATCGCTTTTTAAATCATAAAAATAATTTTCATCAAAATTTTCCATTTCTTTAGTTTCATTTGTATTTGTAAGTGCATCACCAAATGTGCTATCAAAATAATTTTGTTGTGTATGTTTGTTTGTATTTGAGTCAGATATATTACATGAGTTTTTATTTACCTCACTTAAATTAATAAAAGGAAGTCTCATTTTATTTATACCATGTTCAGGAGTTTTCTCTTCACTTTTATTTGATTTTATGTAATTAGTTTTGTTATCTCTATAACCTGAATTGTCATTTTCTATATTTTCAAAAAATTGGTTTAAGTTATTTTTAAATAAAGAATCCTTTCTTTTATTTGATACATTAATTAAATTACGATTTACATTTAAATTAAAGTTATTATTATCTTTATTTATATTATTTTCAACTTCTAAATTTTCTGAAGCATCAAAAAGAACATCCTTCTTGTTCATATTAAATATAAATTTATTATTTTTAAAACTATCCTCACTATTATTAATATTTAATGCTTCATTTTCGCATTTCTTAAATAATACATTGTAATTATTATAATTTTTATTATTATTATCATTATTGTTATTCTCACTTATATCAACATTTTTATTAAAATTGTCTTTATTATTATTATCATTATTATTAATTTTATCTTTGTTATTATTATCATTATAGTTAATATTATTATCATCATCATTATTTTTATTTTTATGAATATCAAAGTTATTGTTATAATCGTCTTCTATAATTGTAATGCTTGATTTATTTCTATTATATGCGTTATTTACATTATTAATAATTATATTTTTGAAACATTTATTTTCAATATCCTCGTTATTATTTACTAATTTTTTCTCTTTTTTATTTTCCACTATATCTTTCACGTTAACCGTTCTGATATTTTTATTATTGTTTTTCATATTTTCTGATATCTTAATTACATTATTAAATATATTATTACTATTTTTATTAAATGCATTTAATTGTACTTCATTAGAAGTTGTTTCATTGGCTTTTTCAAAAATGGACAATAGTTTTGCTTTTCTATTAATTGAATTATGTTTGTACATAATGTCCTCATTACATAGTTTAAGTTTATTTTCATTATTTTCAATCATACTTAAATTTAATTTATTTTTATCAGTACATACTAGTAAATTTTTCTGTTTGCCATCATTTTTCATATTATTTATTAAATTATTCTTTTCACTATTTTTATCTTCTTGTTCAAATCTATAAAAAAATTCCTCATCATTTTCATTTTGTTCAATTGTTTCATTATTATAAGTTAAACTGCATGGTTTTGAATTTAGCACAGAGCAATTACCATTGAAATCCTTATTTGTATTATATTTATTACCTAATTCTTTTAAAGCGTTCAATATATAATCATTCTCACCGTTACTTGTAGATGAAAAATTAATATCGTAGTTGTTAATATTATTTGAACTTAAATTATTAGAAAGAGAATTAGTTGAACATCTATAAGAATATGCTTCTGTTGAAACACTAGATATTTTCAGCCTATTAAATTGATTCATATTTTTATCAAAAAGTATATTATTAGATAAAGAATTCATATTCAACTTATCATTTGTTGAAAATATATCATTATTATGTTCTGCACCTTGCATTTTTAATAAAATTAAAATATATAACAAAACAAGCTCAAATATAATAAAAAGGTTAAACACAAAATTTGTTTATTTAAAGATAATTCCTTTTTCTTTTTTAATCTTCAATACATGCCTATATATTAATTTGTCTTTGTATTATTGTAAAACATATGATACTCCAAATGTATTTAAATTAACAAAAAAAAAAAAAAAAAAAAAATCAATAAAAAATGATCTCATAAAAGCATGTGTATTACAAAATTAAATATTAAAATAATACATTACTTTGAAAAATTAAAAGTTGTCTAACATCAATTTTTTTATATAAAATAATGTTTAAGTCAAATTTCTAAAACAAAAAAAAAAAAAAAAAAAAAAGAAAAGGAAAGGAAAAAGAAAAATATGCAATAAATTATTAATAAATGAATAATGTATTGTGAGAAATAAATAAATAATAAAACAAATTAAAAAGGTTGGAAATTAGCAAACATTAATATAAAAAAGTAGAAAATGTTTATATTATAAACTGAAATATATACATATGTAAAAATAATGCATTGAATTAAATAAAGGAATCAATAAAAAAAAAAAAAAAAAATGAAAGAATGAAAAATTTGTTAATTTATAAAATGCCTATTCTAAATGAAGCAAGGCGAATTCAATACATCATGAATAAAAAAAAAAAAAAAAGGAAAGTAGTTTAATAAATTTCGGAATCTAAGGGGATAAAAAAAATTATAGATATATATCTAAAATAAAAATAATTATCCTTATTCTTTATTTTTTCTTCTATTTTTTTTATCATTAGTTTGTTGTTTTATCTTTCAAAGAAGTTAAAAAGCATGGAAAAATAAAAATAAATATATTGTAACAAATCATCATATTTCACAAAACAAATATAGAGTAAATTTGAATTTTTAATGCCATTTAAAAAGAAAAAAAAAAAATCAAAATTTGAATCTAATTAAATATATATACATTATTATTTCTTTTCTAAATATATATAACAAAAAAAAAAAATAAAATAAAATAAAATAATTATGGGAAAATAAAGTAGAACCTGTTAAAAACAAAACATAATAGACAACAATAAAAAAAAAAAAAAAAAAAAAAAAAAAAAATGACTTAAAAATGAGATATCATATTATTATATGAATATAATAAAGATATGAATATAANTGTAACAAATCATCATATTTCACAAAACAAATATAGAGTAAATTTGAATTTTTAATGCCATTTAAAAAGAAAAAAAAAAAATCAAAATTTGAATCTAATTAAATATATATACATTATTATTTCTTTTCTAAATATATATAACAAAAAAAAAAAATAAAATAAAATAAAATAATTATGGGAAAATAAAGTAGAACCTGTTAAAAACAAAACATAATAGACAACAATAAAAAAAAAAAAAAAAAAAAAAAAAAAAAAAAAAAAAAAAAAAAAAAAAAATGACTTAAAAATGAGATATCATATTATTATATGAATATAATAAAGATATGAATATAAATACAAAAAGAACAAATATATATAAATAGAAAATGAATGAAATTACATATTTATATATGCACACATAAAGAGTATTAAAAGTACGTTAAAAATTCTATTTATAATTTTTTTTTTTTTTTATTAATTAAAAGGGATACTAAACAACATCAAATAAAATTTCACATTGTGCACACATCAATTTCATCAGATAAAAAACAAAATATTTATTTAACAATATAAAGAAAAATTTAAAAAATAAATGATTTTAATTATGCTGTACAATGATATATAACTATATAATAAAATGTACTTTTTATTTAATTTCTTTTTCTTTATTTTCTTAAAGAAAATTAAAATTAAATAATCAGTTTTGTAGACTTTCAATAATGAATAGTTAAAGGCAATAAAATAAAATATAATTATAGTTTAACCTTACTTTAAATAAATGTATCATTTTTGTATATTTTTTAAAAGCAAAATAAGAAATATACTTACTTTCATTTTAATTATTTAAATGTAAATATATAGATCAAAATTATTAGTATTTTTTATTAATCTGATAGTTTACATAATATAACAAAATAATATTAATTAATCATACAAAAATAAAAATAAAATTATATACTTTTACATGTACATATATATATATATATATAACCAAAAAAAAAAAAATAAAAGTACTATACAAAATTAAAAAGCATGTACAAAAATTTAATTTATGTAAATTTTTTAGATTTAATTATAGTTAAAAATATTTTATATTATCTCAAATTAAAAAGAAATAAATCAACAAAAAAAGGTGTGTAAAAGTGTCGTTTGCTCAAGTAGTTAATGCATAAAAAAGGAGCAAAAAAAAAAAAAAAAAGATTACATGCTCTCGAAAATATTTTTCTTATTTTTAAATAAGTTACTTCATACTTTAATTTGAGGAAAAATAAAAATATACTAATATATTTCGAAATATTTAAAAAAAAAAATTATTTTTTAAAAATAAAATCTCATATATACATATTAAAAAAATATATTAAAAAAAAAAGAAAAGAAAAGTGAAATTAAAAGAAAAAGACTCCAAATAAAATTAATTTTATGAAAGTGAAAAAAAAAAAGGTATTTCATTATAAATAAGCAAATTACATATACTATATTTAAGAATTAAAGGAACTATTATTTTTTTTTATTTTTATAAACTAATTTGTTATTCATTAAATAAAATAAAATGTATAAAAATAATAAACATATTTGGAACATTTTATTTTTTTATGAACTATAAAAAATTAAAATGAAAGATACATTTTTAGGAAATAAAATAAATAATCAAAAATAAAAATATTGTTCTAAATGGTTAGATTTGTTTTGAAAATATAAAATTTTTTTATAAATAAATATAGAGTTCTACAAAAATATTATGAAGAATTAATGAATTCATAAGATTTTAACTAAAAAACAAAAAAGAGAATTCCAAGATTTTCATAATAAAATTCTTACTTATTTATTAATTTCTTTCTTTATTTTAATTTTTATAACAAAAACTACTACTTAAGAATATTTATATCTAAACATTTAAATAGAATAAATAAATAAAAAATAGCTAAATATAAAATAGATACTTTTAGTGAACTTGTAACAAAAATAAAAAAAGTGAATGATCTTGAATTTTCAAAAATATTAAGTGGCACATGCGATTATCACACTTGCACAATCCACTAAGAAACTGCTTAAATAAAAAAAAAAAAAAAAAAAAAAAAAAAAAAATTTATATTAAATATATATAAAATGTATAAAATTTTGTCATTTTTTTTTATAAATTTTTTATTTCTTTAAGTTTTAAACTCATTTTAGTGCTTTTACATTTATTTCTAATAAGAAAATATATTTCTCCATTAGTTTAAAGTCATAGGATTTCACAAAATGTATATTTTTATAATTATTATTATAATGTTATATTTTAGTAATTTTATTTTATTTTAGATATCATCTGGAGTAATATTTAAGATCTTAAAACTTTTTTAAAGGAAGATTGTAATTTATAGATAATTTACATCAAATTACATTTTAAGTTCCATTTTTTCTATATAAATTCCTTTACTATATATAGCTAGCTATTGGGAGTGACATTTATATTTTTTTTTTCAATATATCTTTACATGAATACTCAATGAAATTTCATTTTACTGTTTTTGAAAATTATATAGCATAAATATATACCCATTTTTTTATATTAAAATTAGATGATTATTTACAATTTAGTTTTCTTAAAGGATAATTTAAGAGGAATTTTATTTTAACATCAAAAAATAAAATTTTATTCAAAAAGTTAATTTTACAATTGTTTTAAATTATGCTTGTATATTTATTTTTATATTTTGTAAAAAAAGTTTACTTTTAAAAGGATAAATATCATTGCAATATAATATTTCTTAAAATAAATATTTATATTAATAAATTAAAGCTTTATGTTAATGAGTAAATAACTAGATGAAAAAGAAAAGAAATATAAATGTTGTAGAATATTTATAGAGTTAAATTTTTCCAGAAAATATGTTACTAAGTTTATAAAAAAAAAAATATATACATATATATATATGCCATATATGAATTAAAACATGAAGAAAAAATAATGCATGAACAGTACAAATTCGTAAGATTTTCTTTAAAATTAAATATTTTGTTTTCAAAGGATGATGCATTATTTAAAAAAAACATGTGACGTTTACAATTTTAAAAATATGTAAAGAGAGATGTGTGCACATTTCTTTTTAATAAATTAGCCATAAAGTAATGTTGGAGATATTATATGATGTTTAGAATTTAGCATATTATTATAATAGGAAAAATGTAACTTATAAAAATTCTCATTTTAACACCAAATCTTTCTATTCTCCAGGTATATCTACGGTGATTAATTTCAGATAAGATAGTAGCATATAACATCAGCATTTATATTTTTAATTATTAAAGTTTCATTTTAATTTTTTTATATTTTTAAAATATATGTGTCTATACTGTTAATTATTTACTAAATGTTTAATGTGTAAAACATGTTTGAATATATATAGAAGGAAATTAAGTAAAATGTACAAAATATATTTAAAAATTGTTACACATATAAATGATAAGGAACACAAATTAACCATTATTGATAATTTGTTGAATAAACTATCCAGAGAAATTTTCAAATGAATAGAACAGCAAGTTAAATAAAAAAATTTTAGTTACATAAATTCAATAAAATTTTTTTTTTAATTTAAACAAAACTAAGTGAAACTATATTAAAAGAAATATAAATCAAAGAAAAATATAAAAGGAAAATAGAAATTATTTAATTTATAACTGTGAGAAATAATTTTATCAGAAATGACAAAAATTCAATATAATTTTAAAGTATATAGTGTTGAGTAAGATGAAAAAAAAAAAAAAAAAAAAAAAAAAAAAAAAAAAAAAAAAAAAACAATAGCAAATTTACAAAATAGTATAATTAAAAAAAAATTAAAAATAAAAAATAAAATAAAATTTAAAAATTACGTAAAAAATATATATATAATAAAAATAAATTTAAGAATTTATATGATAGAACGTGCAGTACTATCCAAAATAGCAAATGTGTAGATTAAAAAAAGTAAAAAATACATATAAAAAGAATCTTTGATAATAAAAATTTTCAAAAAATGAAATAAATATGAATTACAATAATGAATGTTCTTTAAATTTGGATAAACTTAATAAAAGTGTATTGATGGAGGAAATAAAGTTAAAAAGTTGTACCTACAAAGATAGAAAAAAAAAAGAAATAATTCAAAAAAAATGTTTTATAGAATTAGATAAAACTGCGTGCAGAATAGAAGAAAGGGAAATAAAACATAAAAATATTATTAATAATTATGATAGTGTTCTAAAGAGTGAAAATAATAATTATAGCAGTGATAATGATAATGAGATAATAGAAGAGAAAATGTTTAGCAGGATTAATGATAAAAACAATAGTAACATAATGTTAGTAGATATAGAACAAGACGAAAAAAAACGACTTGATTTGGTAATAATTGATGAAAATAAAAAATTATGCAATAATTCATTAATTAGTAAACTAAATAGTAATTTATTTACGCAATTAAAAAAAGAGATCATTGAGGTAAAAAATAAGAGAGAACAAGAAATAAGTGATAGTAGCAATATTTATAACAATAATTTAAATGAAATTAGTGATAAAAAAGAAGCTTTAAATGGAGTTGATATTAATATGAAATTAAAAAAAAGTAACTGTTTTTCTCTTTCACATGTAAATAAGAGTATAGAAGAAAATAAAGAAATAAATATGTTAAGAAATGATATAAAAATGAAAAATGAAAAAAATAACATAATTTTAAGTAAAATTTACATGAAATCAATAAATTTAAATAATAAGAATGATACAAATAGTACATTAAGACAAAAACCAGGTAAAAGATCAATAAGAATAAAAAGCTTACAATCATCTTTATTTAAAAAATCAATTTTTGAAAAAATATTTGAAAACTCTAATGAACTAAAAAAATTTGATTTTCTAAAGGATAAAAACACTTATTTAAAGTTGTTTGAATCAGCAAAAAATGAAAATAAAGAAAAAAGCTCTTTTTTAAAAAAAATTAATAGTGAAAGTAAAAATAGTGATGAAATAAAAATATTTGATGAAAATACATATAAAAATGTATTTATTGTTATGAAAAAATTAAAAATTCCTATGGAAGATTTACATTATATTCTTTATAATATGAAAGAAAATAAAAATTTTCAAGAGGAATTTGAATATGTTGAAAATTTAATACCAAATGATAAATATATAAGTGAGTTAAAAAATCTACAAAATAAGTCAAATTGGAAAGATATTGAATCAAAGTTAAGAAACACGGAAAAGGTATTACTTCCAATATGTAATATAAGTAGAATAAAAAATAGAATAAGAATTTTTAAATTTTATTACACTATTGAAAAAGTAAAAAATAAACTTCACGAAATATTCAACTTATATGATAAAGTATGTAATGAACTTAAAAATAGTAAATTATTAATAGAAATATTTCAAGCAATTTTGATGTGGGTAAATTTTGTAAATAATGGTGATACAGAAAATTTTGAGATTAAAAGTATCGATTTGTCCCATTTAAGCAAATTAAAATATTTTAAAACAACAGGAGGTAAATTTAATGCTTTAGATTATATTATAGTTAACATGATTTCTTATAACTCTATTAGTAATATTAACGATATAATATACTTGCGTGAAATATTAAAAAAAATACATATAATAAAAGGATGTGAAATATTAGAAGAAATAAGTTATATCGAAAAGGAAATAAATCACATAAATGAAGAAATAAAAAATTATAAAGATGAGTATTCCAATGTAATCGTCGTTTTAATAAAAATAATGGATAAAAGTAATATTATATTTGATAAAATAAATAACTCTTTGAAAAATTCAAAAGAAAATATATTATCACTTTCTTCTTTTTATGGGTTTGAAGAAATATTATTAAATAAAGACATAATGAAATTTCCAGCGTCTGAGTTATTATTTAAAGAATTGTTTGTTTTCATTGATGATGTTTATGATATAATGAATGAAATTATTAGAAACCCGATTAAAATGAATATTTTATTGATAGATGAAGAAAAGAAATTAGGAAATTTTAAAAATAACGAATTTTATAAAAAAAAATCACTTATATATCATAGTTCAACATTTTAAAAAAAGTATTTTTTCTATTTTTTTTTTACCATTTTTACTTTCAATTTTTTTTTTAAAACATTATTAAAAAAATATTAAAAGAAGTAATACATAAACCTCTTAAAAGTAATCGGGAAGATTTCTGCTTTTAAAAAAATATAATAGGTTTACTAATATACCTATATTTAAATAATTATTTAGATTTTGTTTAATTAAATTATGTACATTGTTATTAAGACTATGTTACCTTTATTTCTAATAAAAAAATTCTATATTTTAATTTTCTTTTTATTAAACTGTTTCAATTTAATACCTTAGTTTATTATTTTGTTTATCCTTATTCTACCAATATATAAAATTACGTTTGTTTTATTTTTAACTAATTAAAATATTTTAGCATTTGTAAATCTATTTATTATTTAAAGTATATATTATTGTCTGGAAAGAAATAATATGAAATATTTATTTTCCTCTTTTTTGATAATTCTTAAAATATGTATATATTGAAACTAAAATAAAAGTAAAAGTATTTATATTAAGAAAATATTGTTATTCTCTTTTTTTTTTTTTTTTTTTTTTTAATTGATAATATATGCAAAAATGATAGGTAATTGTTTTCTTGTTTAAAAAGCCAAGTTTTTAAGTTACATATGAAAAAAAAAGATACCTATAAATATAATGTAATTATAAATTAAATAGAAATAAAAAAAGTTTTAATGAAAATACCTTAATTTTTTATTAAATAAAAACTTTAAATATTATAAAAAAAAAAAATAAATAAGGTACTTGGGTTTATTATAAATTATATAGAATGAATTTATTTCATAAATAAATTTTTAGGTAGAATAAATCGTAAATTACTAAATATGTATTTTTATATCTTAATATATCAAAGTATTTATATTATTATGTAAAAGAAAAAAATTAAAATAATATTGAAAAATTTAATTATAATTGAAAATTCAATATAAATGAAATAAAAAAAAAAAAAGAAAAGAAAAAAAAGCATATATATAAGGCATATTAAAATTCATATAAGAAAAAAATTTATCTCTCTGATTTTATTACAAATAATTGTCATATCATAGAATAAATAAATATATATTAGATTGCTTTCTATGTTAAAAATTTTTTTTTTTTTTACATATAAAGATTTTAATTAATTTTCATTACTTTTTTTAAATTTAAGACTTTTGTATTTATATTAGATATTTATATAATTATATGTATTGTGATACACAAAATTGTAAATAACTATTTTAAAATATATATGAAAAAATTTTCTATAGCTGTTTATTAACATAGTGTGTTATAAAATTATTAAATTATAAATCTGAAAATTTTTTTTATAGGATCATTTTCAATTTATTCAGTTATAAATGTATAATTTTTATCTAATCAGCAAATGTATGTTTTTATTTAATTATTTATTACTTTATTATTTTTTTTTATTATATTATTTTAGTTTTGTTCCTCTTTACGTTCCTCTGGAGATAATTTAATGAGATCATCAATTCTTAAAATGGTAATTGTTGCTTCTGTTGCAAATCTGATAGACTTAATTTTACTAATCATAGCTTCTAATACTCCATTTTTCAAATTATTAGCTACTTTTCCATTAACTAAATCTAATCCATACCATTTATAATCTTTTGAATCTTCTGTATTCATTACTTGAGATTTTGTATGATATGCACGCAGCTTACAAACTAAATCAATAGAATCATATGAAGCATTTAAAGCTAAAATTTTGGGTATTACTAATAAGGATTCAGCAAATTCTGCAATAGCTAGTTGCTCCCTTGAGCCTAATGTTTTAGCAAAGTCTTCGAGATAAACTGATAAAGCAACTTCAACACAACCCCCACCTACTACTACATAATTACTTTCTAATGCTCTACTAACTGAACATAAGGAATCATGAATAGATCTTTTCATTTCATCTAAAACAAAGTCATTAGCTCCTCTTAATAATATTGTGTTACATTTGGATGTTTTACATCCTTTAAAAAACATGAGATCCCAATCACCAACTTTTTCTTCATATACCTCATCGCAGTATCCTAAAGAAGAAGCTTCAAATTTTTCTGTACCATCAATAGAAGATAATGTCAAACGTATTTGACCATTTGTTAATTTTGCTATTCTTCTTAAATCGTCCTTGTTTACTCTTCTAACTGCTATAGCTCCAGCTTCTACGAAATATTTCAGTGGCATGTCATCTATACCTTGAGTAGTTAATATAACATTTGCACCTGATTCTAATATTTTATTAACTCTTTCCTTTGTTATATCTTTTTCTCTTTGTCTTATCTTTTCTAATTCTGTTGGATCATTTATATTTACCTGAACTCCTAAATGTAATCTATATTGTTTCAATGGAAAATCAAGAAATGCAATTTTGGCATTTTTAATAGCAGATGGCATTGATTGTGATGCTCTACCACTCATAATTGCATATCCATCAATTAACTTTGAATCTAATGAGCTCAAGCCATGCACTTTTATAACATTAACTGATGAAACTGGATATTTTACTTTACCTGCTTCATTAATAATTTTCACAGATTGTATAGCATTAGCTACCATTTTGGCAAAATATTCTGATTCATAACTAATAAATTTAGAAGATAAGGTAGTTTTTGCTATATTTATAATTACATCTTTTCCTAAGTTATTTACTTTTTCACTTAATTTCTCCTTTATATACTTAACTGATTCTTTCATTGCTAATTTATAACCACATATGACAGTTGTTGGGTGAATATCCATTTTAATTAATTCATTTCCTCTCCTTAATAATTCAGAAGCTAACAAAACTACTGAAGTAGTTCCATCTCCAACTTCTTGATCTTGTAATTCAGATAAATTCACTAAAATTTTAGCGGCAGGATGTTGAACTTCTAATTGTTTTAATATTGTTGCACCATCATTTGTTATTGTAACATCTCCTATATTATCCACTAACATTTTATCTAATCCTTGTGGACCCAAACTAGATTTCAATATATTTGACAATGCTTGAACGGCAGTAACTATAAAAAAAAAATATATATACATACATTGTAAAAAGTATATTAAATACAAAAGGTGTTACATAAAATATAATTAGTAAAACCTTCTACTAAAGTCATATAATATCAAGCATATATAATGAAATATTACAAGAAAATTATAAAATTTTTAATACATATATAACAATAATAAAAAATTATTTTTTATTTTTTTTTTTTTATTACCATTTGCTGTTCTTACATCTTGGCCACTTTCTCTATTTCCATATATACTTAAAGACATTTTTACTTTACTACTTTTATTTCTTTATTATTATATATATTTTCTCAATATATTAGCTTAAATTTCTTTATTTTTTTTTTTATTAATAACTGTATGTAATATAACTTATACACTTTTATTCATATATTACTAGTATATATTCTTTTTTTAATTTTTGTAATATATGCTTATATATTTTTAAAAATTTACCCTTATTTTTATGTTTTATGTATCCTTATATATTATATGTGTTTTTATTTATTTTTAATAGCCTGGTTTTATTAAATATTTTTATATAAAATCAAAAATATAAAAAAATTGTTATTTATTTATTTTTTTTTATATATCTAAACGAAAAATAAATATAAATTTAGTGTAATAATACTTTTATGTTTTTTTCTTAGGATGTTTTTATATTTTTTTAATATTAATATAAATAAGTAAAAATACATATATAATTTTCATATATTTTTTTTTTTTTTTTTTTGTATATTACTATATTTAAATAAAAAACAATATCTACATAAAAGCAAAGTTTTCTCTTTTTTTTTTTAATTTTTTTATTTGTTGTTTCATTTTGCAGTGCATTTGAAGAAATTCATTTGACATGAATAAGATTTTTAAGTGATTATATTTTCCATTAAAAATATAAAATTATTTTTTTATACCTTATTCTTTTATTCTTATATTTTTTTGAAAATTTCTTTTAACGCATATATTATCCAATGAACATGTTAAGTATGAAAATAGATATTCATCATATATATTTACAAGAGAGTTGAAATTTTTGTTCCTTTTTATTTTCAAACTAGTTTTAATAGTAATAAATATAAACAAAATGCTTATTTTTTTTTATAAATTTGCTATTATTATTTTAAAATTAATTTAAATTTTAAAAGATTTCTTAAAAGTACGTATATTATAAAATGTTTGACAATTTTAACTGTATATATAATAATTCATGTGTGAAGTCAAGCATATATATATATATATATCTTTTTTCTTAAACCTTGTTTTATAAAAGCAAATTTTATAGTAAGCTTAATTTTTTATTTGTTTCTAAATTTTTTTGTAAAATAAGATCATATATATTTTTATAATAAAAATATATATATAAATCTTTTAATTTTATATATATGAAAAATTAATATTATTTAATAAATATTGTAGAACTTGAAAATATTAAAAGATTATTGGAAGACTTTTAATTTTTCATATATAAATTTTCAAAAAAAATAAAAACAAGTTCCTTAAAACATTTTAAAAATTAAAATGATATCTTATTAAAAGAAGCTTCTAATATATTAAATTAGAAATATACTTAAATTATTTTTTTTATGTTATCTTTTTCAAACTTTTATAAATATATTAACACAATTAAGATTAAAACAAAAATAAAGAAAAATACATGTAACCTTTGTATATAAAAATAAATAATTGTAAAATGATACTGAAGTAGTATTTTTTATAATTTTTATAATTATTATTTATATATAATTTTATAATTATTCGAAAAAGATATGTACTATAAATTTATATATATGAAAATATAAACGTCTATTTTTTTTTTTAAATATCAAGAATGAATCATTATATATGTGTATCTTTGTCTTTATTATTTTTTTTTTATTATAAAGTTTTTAAATATTTTATTTTCTTATATTACAAATAATAGAGAAACTGTTCTTATTACAATTTAAATCACCTTTCGAAAATAGTTAAATTTTTAAATACATTGACTTATATATATTTCCTTTTTTCTTTAGTTCAAAAAAAAAAAAAAATATATATATTCAAAAAATTTCATACATAAAAAAGGAGAAAAAATAGCTAGTTTCATTGTCTTTTTTTTTTGTAAAATTTGAAAGTAACGTAAAATTTATAAATACGAAAAATTCAGACATATGAAATTTGTTAGTTCATAGAAGATTATTAAAAAATTAAAGTGTTATTTTATTCTTTTAAATATAGTTAATTTACTTTTTTTTTTTTGTAACAAATATATATAAATAATTTAAAATATTTATTATAGTTTTAATAGGAATTTTAAGAAATATAAAAAATATAAAAAAAAAAATTTTGAATCATTCTTTAATTTTTTATTTTTTAATAATAATAAAGGAAAATGAAATAAAAGTGAAAATCATTTAAATATGTAAGAAGGAAGAAAAAAAAAATAAAAAAAAAAAAAAAATGAAATAAATTGAAGTATCGCTTAACATTAAAATTTATTTAATTTTTTTTGTTTATTAAAAAAAACATCCAATTTAATTTTATAATACTTTAAAAGTCATTTTATAACAAAAAATTTAATACTATTTTTTTAGAGAATATACACATAAACTTAAAAGTTTTATATAAAACTGATATATATATCTAATAAAAGGAAAATAAAAATAAAGTATAAAATTAAAAATGAATAAAAAAGTGAAATCAATACATATTTTTAGATTTATTTAAAAAAAAAAATTAATAAATAAACAAAGGATATATAAATCTTGAAAATAAAAAGATTATAATAAAGTGATGATATTTATCACAAAATTTAAAAAATGTATAGAAGTAAATAAATATATTAACAAATAAATATATATATTTATCTTTGAAGCAAAAAAAAAAAAAAATAAAAATAAAAATAAAAATACTTATATATATATATGTGCTTATTTTAAGAAAATAATTGTATATTTATTTTTTCATAAAATAAATTAAAAAATGGATATGAATTTTGGTTTTTGTGATGATACTTTTTTTGAGCAAGGAAATAAATCAACAGACAAAGAAGAAATAGAAGAAATAAAAAAAAATGAGTCATTTGAAGCAATTACAAAAAATAAAGAAACAGAAGAAGAAAAAGTATTACCAAAAGAATTATGTGTACCTGTTACTATTAAATTATTATTAAATAAAATGAAGAACAGTGAAGAATTTAAAATTCACGATTTTCAAATTAGTGGTATTATTGTATTTGGAAAGGTATGTAAAGTTAAAGAATTAGCTAGCGCAATTATTTTTGAAATTTGTGATTACACAGGTAATATTGAAGCAAAATATAATAAAGATGCGAAAAATGAAAAAGTTCAAAATCATATTGAAAATATAAAGGTAAATGATCATATCAAAGTAGTTGGTGTTGTTTATTCACCTGAAACAAAAAGTGAATTTGTACAAATTAGCATTTCATATGTAAACAAAGTAGATGACTGGCTTTCTTATTTTTCATATTTCACATCTGATGTAATTTATTGTTACTTAAAACTTTTAAAGTTAAAAAATATTTACGCTCCTAATGGAATTAATAACGAAGAAAAACCATGGTCACATATAACATTAGATTCTTACTATAATCATTTAGATGATACTGATACTGATATTATTAAATATTTACACACAAAAGATGAAAAATATGCAAATCAACAAGACATATTTAATAATCTTCAAAAATATCACTCAGAAATTAATATAAAAAAATCATTAACAAAACTTATTGAACAATACGATTTAGCACAGTATGAAGATATTATAAGTATACCATAAAGTGATAATAATAAAAGAAAGAAAAAAAGAAAAAAAAAAAAGTTATGTAATATATAAGTGAAAATTGATACATACAAAAATTAAGAAAAAATATAAATATTAAGCTGTAAAAATAATTTTAAAATATTATTATATTTTCTTATTGAGAAGTAAATATTTGTCTGTTATTTTATTTTATTTTATTTTATTTTATTTTATTTTTCTTTCTCATTTTTTTTCTTAAGTCTTTTTCATAAAAATTATTTTATTTTTTATTTGAAACAGTAATTTTAAATAATATTAAATAAATTTATTTTATTTTTATACTTTTTTTTTATTCGTATATTTTAATGTAAAATTAAATTAGTTTTTCATAAAATTTAAATTTTTAAATGTGCGTTTTTTTTTTTTTTTTTTTTTTTTTTTTTTTTTTAATAAAATTGTATATTTTCTTATTTATTGTTTCTAAAGAAACTAAATTAAAAAATTTTTAGATCAAATAATTTTGACAAATTAAAGAATTACATTTTAAAAGTATGTATGAACGTGTATGAAAATGTATTAAAATACAAAGAATTAAAAAATAATTTTATACAAATTATACATATATTTGGTTATATATTTTAAATTATATTTTATAATTTAAAAAACCATTATAATTAAGCAAATAAAATATTGTAAATATTATTCATGATAATTATCTATGGTAATTTTTTTTTTTTTTTCTGATACTATAGTTTGATAGAAAAAGTAACTTACCCCCGTAAAAACAATTGCTATACTAATAACAAAGTAAATAGAAAAATATCTATCATTATCTGTGATAAATGGAAAATTAAAAAAATATAAAACTAATAAAGTGATAGGGGTAGATGATTTTAAAATTAAGAAGCACTCTGCAGAAGAATAACTACTATAAAAGGAAGAGACACTTAAATTAAATAATGAATTTACGATTATATAAAGAGCATAAACAGCAAATGCATATTTACAACTTTGATTATTTTCAATTACATATCCTGAAAAACATTTAAGACTATCCTTTATGTATAATAAATATGATGTATTTTTATTTTTATTAAATAGCAATTGAAAATATATAATTAATGGTAGTAAAATAATTTGTATAAACGAAATATTAAATGACAGTAATATAACACTTATTTTACCATCCTTATTATTACATTTCATATCTCTTTTTATATTTTCTTTATAAGGAAGATTATTTTCTGTTTCTTTATCCTTTGTATTATTTGTATATTTTAATGAATGAGATTTATGGAAATTATCATTATCAAAATAATTAAACTCATCATTTATATCTGTTGATAACTTTCCTGTCTTTTTATTATTATTTTTTGGGTTTAATTTATTTGAATATTTAACTTGACTCACTTTTTTATTTATAAAAAAAATATTTTCAATATTATTAGAAGAATGATTATATTCTTTATTTATTTCTATGTCTTTATCTAACAAACACTTATTTTTGATTGTTTCTCTTTTATTATAAAAACTGCCATTTGTTAATTTCTTTTTTTCCAATTTTTTTTTGCTTATTTTTTTATCTCCATGATTTTGCATTAGTGAAAAATTTTTATTATTCATACTATTAAAATAATTTGTTTGAGATCCAAAATTTGACACAGAATAAGAATTGTCTATTCTCATACATTCCTTTTTTTTAGTATCCTTGATTATTTGTTGTTTTTTTATATATTCTGAAAAAAATATTTCTCTTAATATTCCACCAAAGGAAGTTAAAAAAATAGATAAAATGCAAAAAAGAATAGATATGGTTAAACCAAAGGGGGCTATACATACGGGTTCATTACAAAGATGAAAATTATTAAAATGATTAAAATCATGTATATAATTTAAATTTATAAAAAAATTTGAATTCATATAATAATTAACAAAATTCTGTTTTAATGTATCTATAGTTTCTTTATATATAAATGGCACATAGAAAAAAAGGAAACCTGTTAGGACAATTATAACAGAAATTACGTGATGGATATTATATTTCCTTTTTAAAACTATGTAAGATAATATAATTGAGAAAATAAAATTTAACTGATTTAATAATAACAATATTGTTAATGGAATAGCTAGCTGTGACACAAAATATAAAGTATTAGAAATAATATCAAGTAAAGCTATAATGATAACATACTTATATGCTCCCATATCTGCCCATTTGCCTTTTATAGTGGTCAAATTTTTATGTTCTTTATATTTATTATCATTATTATTCTCTTTTGCTACTTGAACTCTTTTTTTTTGAAAAACATTTTTTATTTCATTTAGGTTATTTTTTTTTTTATAAAATTTATAATTTCCTATAATTTCTTTTAACTCTTGTTCATTCAATGAATATATTTCTTCTTCTGAGATTTCTTCATTAATAGTATTATATTCTCTAGATTTTTTTAAGAATGTTTTTTCATGGTTATTATCATTCAAAAATATTTCATTTATATCTTTATTTAAAAATAATTGGTTTCTCTTGGAACTATCATTTGAAGAATTATTGTTATAACTATTATATAGATTGTAATTTTCTTTGCTTAAAAGGTTTTCACTATTATTGAATGAATTGTTATAATTCACGTTATTTGTATCTTCTAACAATGGTTCATATATTTTTTTTTTATGAATATAATAAAATTTCAAAATTTTTTTTTTTTTTTTTGCGTTTTCTGATTTTATATCAACTGCAAAATTATTCCCCAAATTTCCCCTTGTTTCATTATCTTTATTTTTTGATTTAAAAAAATTATTTATACATGGATAAATATAACACCAGTGTTTCTTTCTTATATATCTTGATTTACTATAAATAATGCATAAAATAAAATAAATTGTTATATATGCGATAGCATTATATGAAGCAGTTAAACTATCAAAATTTTTGAGAACTCTATTTCTCATTCTACCACAAATATTATTACTAACCCCCAAAAAAACAACTAAACATCCATTACATAGTATCAAAAAAAATTTTTTTTTTTTGCTAGTATTTAATGAATTATTTAAAATACTTTTTTCATCTGAATTTTTTTCTAATTTATCATAATTATTAAAAAAATCATTGTCTATATATATATTATTTAAATCATTCTTATATTTTAAATTATCATTTCTTTCATTTGTGCTATTAAAGATTTTAATTTTTTTATTTTTATTCATAAAGTTATTATTCATATTACTTAAAAAAAAATTTTCATTTTCTTTTATGCATGATTTTTTATTGTCCTTTTCTTTTTTTTTTTCTTTTTTTTTTATTTCCTCTATGTATCTTTCGCTAAATATTTCTTTCAACAATTTATATTTATCTCTTTTTTTTTTTTTTAAAAAATTTTCATTACATGATATTTTTTCATAGCTTGTAAATTTTAATATATCATTATTATGCTCATTTTTTTTTTTATTTTCTCCGCTTAAATTTTCTTTTTTTTCATGCTCAATTTTTTCCTTTTCGTATCCAATTTTTTTTTCATCAAAGTCCAAATTTTTTTTTTCCTCAATACATTCCTTTTCTTTAACATTATTTTTTTTTTGTCCATTGATAATACTTTTTATTTCATGTATACATTTCTTTTCTTCTGTGTATATATTTTTTTCTTGCACTTTCTTTTTCTCCACTTCAGCATTTTGCTTATTTTTTATATTTTCTCCTTTTTCATTTAAATTTTCCTTTATTTTTTGACTATTTTCACTATCTTCTTTTGACAAATTTTTTGTTTCTTCATATTTCTCTTCATTTATAATAACTTTTAAAAAACTTATGTTATCTTCTCTATTTGAATTACATATATCATTTTCAACATTTGCAACTTCACAACCTTCAACTAGTTCTACATTTTTTGGAAAATCTACATTCATTTTATTCTCTATCTTTAAAATTAAGAAAGTTTTTTTTTTTTTTTCGTAAAAAGTAACAAATTAAAATATATTTTTTATGAACAAATTGATTTTTATAAAATTTTTCGTGATTGATCTTATTTTGATCAAAAAAAATTAAACTAATCCTTTTTAAAAATATGGTGATTAACTATTGCACATTATAAAATCTTTATTTATTTTTGTATTAAAAAAAAATAACATTAAAAGATAATATAAAAACATAATGTAATTACTGAAAGAATTCACTATATTTATTTAGAAAAAAAAAAAAAAAAAAAAGGAATATATAAAAAAGGAAAATAAATAAAACCACTTGTGTTGTAAAAAAGAAATATGTTAAAAAAATGATTTTAATTTTTTCCTTCTTGTTTTCTTTTTTAATAAAATAAAAATTATTTTAAAGTATATGTAACTTATAATATGTTTTATAATAAAGTATTTATATTAAAAAAATTATAAGATGTCATAAATAATTAAATGCCACTCATCTGTATACATTAAGTATACGTATGCATACATATATATTTTTTTTTTTTTTATACAAAATTAGATGCTAATAATTGTTAATGAAAATAAATTTAACCAGATAAATTAAAAAATATACGTATTCAAACAAATATATATTATAAATGCACTGAGGAGATTAAGGTTTAGTTTTTCATCGGAGAATTTTCTTTGAAGTAAAAAAAAAAAAAGCTATTACTATAATGTATATATATATATATATTTTATTATTTGTAATATCTTTTAACAATTAAATGCTAAGATATATTTTTTTTTAATGATTAAAAAAAAAAAAAAAAAAAAACACACACACCATTGAAAAATTATGATTAATGAACAAGAAAAACAAAAATTCATTAATCTAATAATAGCATATTTTTTGTAATGAAGTTTTATTGTAAGTATAATTTTTAAGAGAGAAAAAAAAAGGGAATAGTCAAAAATCCTACATTAATTATCATAGATCTAATATCATTATTTTCTTTATTTCCATTAAAAAAAAAAGTATATCTATATATCTATCTATATATTTATATAATGTTCTTTCTAAATACATCATGATAGTTAATCTACATGGTAACAATTTTTTATAACATGAAATTTATACAATCTTAGTTATTCATTAATTTTATTTCTTTGTTATTATATTTACACACTATTTTATTATATATTTTGAAGTATAAAATCAATATTATTTTAATTAAAACAAAAAAGTAAATTTTAATGATCTATAGTGTAATAATATATTATCTATATTAAAATAGTTATATATAAATTTTAATCAAATTTCTTTTTTTAAAAGAAAATTATGCATGTATATAAAGAAACCTAATACTCAACATAGCCTAACTTTTCTTTTTTTTTCTCAAGTTGAAGATTTAATATATTTCTTATAACAAAAAAACAGTTATAAAAATACAAAACAGTAGATTTTAGTCAAATGTTAGAACTATTTCTACTACAAAATAATTATTTATATAAATAAATATAAAAAAATTTTTTTAAATAAAAATAAAGTCTTAAATTTCAAAAGAGTAAGAAAAAAAAAAAGAATTAGTTGCATATTAAACCTTTTTATTTGTAATTTAATATATTTTTAAGATTTTTTTAAACTCAATTATATAATTCTACTGTTTATTTTATGTTTATATTTTGTTTAATTATATAATTTTATTTTAATATAATATTATTTTTTACTTTTTATTGTTTTTTTTTTTTTTTTATTTTGTTAATTCTTTATTGAATTTATTGAATGAAGAAAATCTAGACATCTCTAACACCACGAAGAAATTTAAATTATTTTAATAATATTGTTTTCTTTTTTGTTCGATTTTTATAAGTTAAATTTTCATTTTATTATAAAAAATGTAAAAAATGAGAAGGAAAAAAAGATTTTCTATGAATTAATGTATAAAAAGAGATAAATATAAAAAACAAATAATAAGTAAAACATATTGAGAAACAAAAACAAAAAAAAAGTTTAAAAAATTGTAGAATTTAAATGCCTAAAAATATAATAAATAAAATATATGAAATCTAGGGAATTATAAGTATATTAACTAGATAATTTTAAGAACAAGAAAAAGTAAAAAAAAAAAAAATTATTTATACTAATATTTTTGCGGAAATCATTCTTTATTTATACAATTTTAATTAGGTAGAAAAAATATAAATATATCAAAAAGAAAAAGAGAATGTGTAATTGTTTAAATTGTATATGAAATTGATCAAAAAAATAAAAATAATAAAAATAAAAAAAAAAAGTATGTATATAATATAGATTTATAAAATATGTTTAAAAAATATTATCTAGAAAAATATGAGAGTGGTGCAAAAGAAAATGATTTTATAGAAAGAAAAAAAAAAAAATTAAGAAAATTGAATTCACCTCACTTTAAGCAACCAAATGATCTGAAAACATGCTTATATAATACCTGTATTAATTTTTCAAATTCTGATATTTATCAAGAATATATAAGTAGATTTAATCTTAATTCATATAACAATTGTGATTATGATCAAATTAGAAGAAATTCCTTTATATCTAAAGAAAAATTTTTAAAATATTATAACTTTAATTACTATAATAAAAAGTTTGAATTAGAATCAGAAGTAGACTTCAATGAAGAATTTTTTGAAGACTTAAATGACAACAGTGATATAGAAGAAATAGGAAATTATATGATAAAAAAATATAAAAATAAAACAGAAAAACAAGTAAAAAATTTATTATTATTGAAAAGAGAATACGATAATATAAAATCAATTAAAAATGTAGAAGAAAACAATAAATCGATAGAAAAACAGAACAATAAAGAAGTATCATCCAAAAAAAAAAATAGTGATTTTCACTCAAAATCTTATACTTCTAAATTGCTATCAATAATTAACCATGAAACTCTTAATAATAATTTTGATGAATTACTAAAAACAAATATAAAAAAAGAAGAAAGCTGTTACAGGAGGAATCATAGAAAACACTTTTTTTTGAATTTATTCAGAGATTCAGAAGAATCTTCCTTTGCTTCTAATTTTAATGTTTCCTTTTTAAATTATTGTGATATTAATAAAAGAAAAATAAAAAATTCAGGAAACGAAGATTATTTATATATGCTAAATAATTTAGCAGAGTCTCAGAATGACCCATTTATTGAAAAATATTACAAGGATATAATTAAAATGTTAGTAAAAAGAAACTTAAATAAGTCAAAAAAGGAAAAGGTAAAATATAAGGAAGAAATATATGGTCAAATGAAAAGTGAAAATAAAATTGAAAAGACAAAAAATACTTCGATATTAAAAAATTATAAAATAATAAAAGAAGAAAAAAACGACGAACAATTGAAAACTAAAAAAAAAAGCGAAAGGCTAATAATTGAAAAAATAAAAGGTGGAAAATCAAAAAGTAATGATAAAAAGGATGAAGCACTAAAAAGCGAAGAACAAAAAGATGAGCTATTAAAAAAAAAAGAAAGAAAGGATGAACAATTAAAATATGAAGAAAAAAGAAATAAAAGAAAAGGTGAAAGATTGAGAAGTAAAGAAAAAAGAGGTGAACAATTAAAAAGTGAACAACAAAAGGATGAAAAATTAAAAGATGAAAAAAAAGGTGAAAAAAGAAAAGGGGAAAGATTGAGAAGTAAAGAAAAAAGAGGTGAACCATTAAAAAGTGAACAACAAAAGGGTGAACAATTAAAAGATGAAAAAAAAGGTGAAATATTGAGAAGTAAAGAAAAAAGAGGTGAACCATTAAAAAGTGAACAACAAAAGGATGAACAATTAAAAGATGAAAAAAAAGGTGAAATATTGAGAAGTAAAGAAATGAAGGGTAATCAATTAAAAAATAAAAAAAAAAATGAAAAGATAGAAATATTAAAAAGTAAAGATAGAAAAGGTGGACAAAGAAAAGATAAACTTTTAAAAATTGAAAACAATAAAGATAATATGCATATAAGGGAAGAAGAAAAATGTGAAAGACTTATAGTTGGAGAAATTAATACAAATTATAGCGATACAGTAAATAAGAAAAAAATTAAAGAATCAAATATTTTAAAATATGATATACGCAAAAGCATGGAATCCCTAAGTTCTGAAGAGATGAATATTTATTTAAAAAAAATTTTAAAAAATGAAAATATAAAGTTTAATCAAAGAAGGATTGATAATAGAGATAGGTGGAATTCAATATCTCAATTTATTTGTGCATGTATAGGTGCGTCCTTAAGTGTTCATTGCTATTTAGATATTCCCGAACTAAAATCTGAATCTAACATTATTTTAATTTCTATCCTTTTTTTGTTTTGTTATTTATTTATTGGATGGCCATTACTTCAATTAGAATTTGCTTTAGGTCAGATATCACAAAGTTGTATAGTTAACAGCTTAAGTTTATTAAAGAAAACATTTAGAGGTATCGGTCTTATTTCTTTAATGATATCGTTTTATGTTTTATCAAAAAATATTAATAATAGTGTTGATACATTTATAATTGTCACAAATACAATATGGAAACCTTTACCATGGAATTTAAAAGAGTGTGAAAAAATATTTGACAAAACAAAATGCATTAAAAATAATAAATGCAAATGGGTAACTTATAATGACACAACTAATAATATATTTAATCGAAAGAAAAATTTAAATATGAATATGAATAATTCATATAAAAAGGAAAAAAATGATAATAACCTTTTTACAAGAAATAATGATCAAACTTGTGTATCTAGTGGAATCTTAGAGGTGATAAATTTTTTTTCTGAAAAAATAAAATTTGTATGGAAATTAGGGTCTTTATTTTTTATCATATTAATAATATATTTTTTATTAAGAATAGAAGATATGTCATTAAACCAGAGCTTACATTATTCATTTTTATTTTTTTTTATGGTTGTTTTCTTTCAGATATTTATATTATATTACGAATTACATCCAAAAAATATGAAGAATATATTTATTAAATATAATGAAAACATATTATTTAGTAAAGATTATTTTCTTTATATTAATTCTCCTTTAATAGCAAAAATAATTACAATAGTATTAGTTTCTATTAATTGTTCAACTGGACTCAATTATATGTTTTCATCTTACACCAATATAGGAGAAAATATATTTTTTCCTACTTTTTATGTTATCTTTGGCTCTTATATAGGAATATTAATGTATTTAGTATATTATTACTTATGTATTGAAAGTATAAATAATTATCCTTTTATTTATGATAAACTGGAACTAAACACATTATTTGATAATTTTAGATTATTACCAATCAATTATTCTTCTATTCAGGAATTTTTAAAAAGAAAATATTCAATAAATCATTACATCATTTATGTAGTAGCATTATCAAGAATAAAATTCCCAAATATTATGAGCTTTGTATTCTTCCTTTCTTGTATTTTGGTTATTATTACCTCTTCCGCTGTTTATTTAAAAGGAGTAATATTAATATTAAAAGAAAGTAGAAAATTTAAAATCTTAAAGAAAAAAACTATATCCCTATTTATAATTACTATATATTTTTTTCTCGGATTTTTCAATTTATTCAATATAGGTTATAACATCAATTTTTTGATAAATTTCATTATATCAAGTTATATTTATTTATTTATCACTATTCTTCAAATTATTTGTATTACATGGATATATGGTTGTGAACATATAGGAAAAATAATAAATCATAAAAAATTATATTTTTATTTTTCTCTAAATTTTTTTATTACAATTTCAGTTATACCTATAATATTATATATTTGTAAACATTTTGTTCAAAATATTTTTTTTTTTATATTATTATTTTTGTTTTTATTCATAGTATTTATTTCTATAAATGCAATTTTATTCTATTCAATTAAAGGGGATGTTGCATTAAAAGAAAAAATGTATTTTTTATATATATTTAATATTGATATACTAAGGAGAAAATTAAATAATATATTATATGGAAAGAGAAGAACTTATGATTTACACATAAAACAATTTCATTGTGTTTTGTTTAAAAAGTTTACATTGATATGGTGTTATTTAATGAAATATTTCATTCCTTTTGTTTTAATTTTTATATTTTTAACTAATCTTTTATATCATATTCATTTCTTTATACACATCGGAAGTCATAATAGTGGAAGTTCCTCCTATTATAAATCTCTCAATAAGGTAAATAGGCATTCCTATTTGAGAGTAGCTACTAATAAAAATATGTCTCTAAATAGTAAATGGAAAAAAGAAATAGGATTTAATGATACAAATGTTACTTATAAAAACAATAATTTTAATATTATAAATTTATATAATAATCTGAAAGAAAATACTGTAATCAATAATTATAACATTGGTGAAAATGAGTTATATATTAATCTTGGAACAAAAAATGACAATAAAGATATTATTATACGTAAAAATGAATCTAAATATTTTAGTTTATACATATATTTTTCTGTAACAATAATATTATTATTATTTGTTACAATTATTGCATCAATTTCTTTTATACAACCTTGTAGATTGAGAAGTTTCATTTGTCCTCCAACTCACACATGGAATATTAGTGATATTCATTATAAAAAAAAAAATCCTATGAATTTTTTATATACAAGATACATATTTTTTTTTGAAGAAATTCTTCCTATTGAAAATATTATGCCCTTTTATATTTGGAATCATATTAAGAAACATATAAAAAATGAAAGTTTCATTAATTCTCTACACAAAGATAACGAAAATAATGAAACAATTTATGACAAAAAACTTACTTATTTAAATAAATTTGATTATGAGAATTACATTTTTAAATTAATTGATCATGGTTCAAAACTTTATGACTTAAATGAAATGAGAAACGCTAATTTTTAGTTTCTTTTTATTGATGCATAATTTCATTAAATAATTTTTCTTTTTTTTTTTTTTTTTCCATAGAAAGAAGTTTAGTGAAAAACTAAAAAAAAAAAAAAAAAATAATAGTAAAAATTATATAAAATGAAAATTTATACAAAATTAATTATTCTATTTTTAAAGTATACAACTATATTTTAGAAGAAAAATCTGAGTTATTTAAAAAAGAGAGACTTTGAAATATATATATATATATATGTATATATTATGTGAATATATTTTATTTTTTTTATACTTGACATTATATATTTTTTATGTGTATTTTTTTTTTTTTTTACCTAATGACATAAAACAATGTTTTTTCCTTTTTATATTAAAAAACAAAACATAAATAAATACAAAGTAAATATGCTTTTTTACAAATATAAAAAAAAAATAAATTTCGATATCTATATAATTCAATATAGATGCTATTAATTTCTTTTTGTATTACGAGATGATGTGCTATGCATCAATAAAAAATTATTAATTAAAAATAATATACTAAAAAATTAAGTACAATAAAAACAAATAAAAAAAAAAAAAAAATATTTTTTTTAATACATATACCTGTTTCCTACATTTTATTTAAGTGGTTTCATGCCTAAATTTTTTCTAATTTTATTCCATTCATCAATTGATATATCATCTTTTTTATTTTCATCATGAATAGAAATATTTTTATTATTTTCTTTTTTTTTTACGTATTTTCCATATGACGTATCACTTTTTTCAGATGACTCTGTATTTTTATTTTTTTTTAGATTAAAAAAGATTTTTTTTTCTTTTTTTTTTTTATATATATCATTTTCTTCACCTTTTTTTACTTTTAAAATTTTTTCTTTTCTTTTATTTTTTTTATCATAATCATCCTTATCTACGTAATTTTTTCTTCTCTTTCTATCATATTTATTTGAATCAGTACTATATGAATCTTGATTTTCAGAAGAATATTTTTTTTTTTTATAATTATAATAAGTATTCTCTTTTTTTTTCATTTTTTTTCTTGATTCTTTTTCCTTATATTTTTGTTTCTTTTTTTTTTCTTCTTTTTTTTTCTTTTTTTTTTCTCTATGATTACCATCATTATCATAGGTACAAACTTTATTAAATATATTAGAACGGTTTAAATCACTTTCTTGATTATCATTTTGTGATAAATTACTTTTGTTCTTATTTATTTCATTTTCTAATAATTCATTATCTGAAGAAATATTTAATAATTCTTTATAATATTCTAAATTTCTTTTTTCTAATAAATTATTTTCTTCTAGAATTTGTCTTTTTGTTAATGTTGGAAAATCTACATCTAAATAATTGTTTAAAATTAAGCAATTATCAACGAATTCATCCATATATATTTTTTGAAATGTTCCATCTTGAAGTCTCATTCTAACTTTTCTATAATCAAATAAAACAGGTTCCAAGTTTTTATAAACTTCTAAACTTTTTCCTATCAATCTTAAATAAAAAATTCCTAAAGCTCTTAAATAAATAAATTCCTCATTTTTTATATATTCATATACTATATCTTTATCAGGTTGAATTTGTAACAATTTTAAAATCAAGCACAAAAAACGAGTTGGTTTTCTATTACCCCCATAGGTTCCTCCTATGTATTTTAAATTTATTGCTTGGTCTATAATTGATTCAGCTGAATAATAAAAAGAAAGAAATTTATGTATATATATATTTTTTTTTTTTTTTTTTAAAGCTAAAAATTTAATGCAATAAAATAATGTTTTTCTATTAAATACATGTTAAAGCAAAGCATTTTTCCTTCCAATATTGACTTTCATATATTTTGCTTCTTATAATATTTGAAATTAAATATTGAGGATTTGAACCAAAGATTTTTATAGCAGTCACATCTGTACGATTAGCCATGCTTTAAGTTTCTTAACCATTATTTATTCTTTAAATAAAAAACAATTAAAATGATAAAATAAATGTAAACATATATATGTATTACTATAAATTAGTAAAATATAATTTTAATACTTTTTATTTCATATATTAAATTTACTTCATTCTATGTAGTTAATTAAAAATCTTTTTTTTTATTTTATTTTAAAATAACTTATAATGATGCTAAATTTCATTTATTAGTACTTTATATATTTATTTAATTTTTTTTTTTTTTTTTATTTTTTATATTTTTGGTGTATTTTTTTTTTTTTTTTTTTTTTTTTTTTTTTTTTTTTTTTTTTTTTTTTTTTTTTTATACTATATATCTTATTTTTTAATTTTTTTATTTCATTTTGACAAACTTTTTATTTTTTTTTACTTTTTTTTGTATTTATAGTTTAATATTAAATGTTTTTTTTTTTTAATAAAAAATCACATATTTGAATATATGCCATATTAGTTTTGGTAAATTTATAAAATATTAGCTTTTTGTTATGTGAAAATTTTTTTTACAAGTGAAATTGAATAAAATACCTTAAAATTAATATATTATTTTTTTAATGTTTAAAATTTTGAATATTTTTTTAAAGATGTATTTATATACTTGAAAGGTAATTTTGTTAATTTCTAATTTTTAGCATGAATAAGTTAACGTTTGGATTAAAAAATAATATTTTAATTAAAAGATTTTTTTCTAATTATTATTCTCCTAATATTAAAAGAAATGTTCCTGAATATATAGATTTCGAAACATTTTTCCCAAAAAAAGATATAAAACCTGATGTTTTATCAGCATTTACAATAGCAAAGCAACAGAGATTAGAAAAACTTTTAGAAAATAATCCATTAGTGTTATATAAAGGAAGAGTAATAAAAAATTTATCATGTCATAAAATTAAAAATTCAGGGAGAAATAATGTAGGAAAAATTACTACTCGTCATAGAGGTGGAGGTCATGTACAAAGGTTGAGATTTATAGATTTCAAAAGATCAAGAAAAGATATTTATAGTACTGTTCTAAGAATAGAATATGACCCTTCTAGAAGTGCACACATTGCTTTAATTCAATATGAGGATGGTGTGTTATCATATATTTTAGCACCTCTTTTATTAAGACCAGGAGATAAAGTTATAGCTAGTAAGTATGCAAATATAAATCCAGGAAATTGCTTACCTTTAAAAAATATTCCTGTTGGAAGTATAATTCACAATATTGAATTGAGACCTGGGGCAGGGGGCCAATTCATAAGAGCAGCAGGAACCTATGCAACAATATTAAGTAAAGATAGTCAATATGCAACTATTAAATTAAAATCTACAGAAATTCGGAAATTTCCTTTAGAATGTTGGGCTACTATAGGGCAAGTTTCCAATTTACAAAGGCATATGAGAATTTTGGGAAAAGCAGGGGTTAACAGATGGTTAGGTAAAAGACCAGTCGTTAGAGGAGTAGCTATGAATCCTTCAAAACATCCTCATGGAGGAGGAACTAGTAAAAAACACACGAAAAGACCGAAATGCTCTCTTTGGGGAAAATGTAGAGATGGATTTAAAACGAGAAGCAAAAAAAAACCACTTGGATTAATTATTAGAAGAAATATATGTGGTCGTTTACAAAAAAAGTATGGTGTTACTGCATAATAATAAATCCTCATTTTTTTTTTTTAAAAGAAAAAAAAAAAAAAATACTCAACATTACAGAAAAAAAAAGTAATATGTATATACAGTTTTATAAATAAAGAACATTATTTAGAATATCATAGAAATAGGTATTTGAGAAATTATATAAAAAGATGAATAGTAATTTTTATTGATTAAAAAAAAAAAAAAAAAGATTATTCACATTTAGAAAAATATATTTATTTATTACTAAAGTAAAGTAGCTACGTGGAAAATTTGTGTTTTTTCAATTAAAAAAAATGATAGAGCTAATTGTGACGAGAACAAATAGTATATTATAAAATTGAAAAAGAAAAAAATAGTAACAGTAGAATAACAAAACTAAACGAAACAAATACTTTTAATTATAAAAAATATATTATCATAGTTAATTATTATTAAATATATATATATATATATATATTCTTATGAAAAGAGAAAAAATAAAATGTAAAAAGAATATGTCTTTATTTTATAATGGATACATGATACTTCATAGAAATTATTTTTACTTAAATATTATTATGAATATTTAAACAGAAATATATGTCAAAATCTAGATATGATTCTTTTTCAACTGAAGTTCGACTATTTTTTTATTTAATTTATTTATGCAACATTTAGCACGATATAACTAGATGATTTTTTTTAAAAATTATTATATATTTTTTATGTTATATATTATTTTATTTTATACTATTTACTTTTTCAGTCTAAATTTTCCTTCTTTTCTTCCCTTTTAATATATTTTTTTTTTTTTATTAGTCTAATATTTATTTTAATTTCAGTATATTAAAAAAATATTCATGTAATATAATTTTAGTTTTCCAATTTTATTAATTTTTTTTTCATTATTTTTAAATATTTCATTTTATCTTAATATAATTACTTAAAAGTTTAACAATATATAGATATAAAATATGAATGCACAATGTAATTATAATTTTTAAGTAAAAAAAGTTTACACATTTTAAATATATATGTTAAATACTCCATGAAGATTCTTTTCATAAAGTATAATTACATTCGAAATTTAACATAGTGGATGATTTTTTATTATTCATATACTTTTTTACAAAAAAAAAATTACACGAAAATTTTTCGTATTTTAATTCCTATTAAATTTTTTTTAATATATTAATTTTCTTAAAATTAGTTAATTTTTTTTTTTTTTTTTTGTTAACCATATTTTAATATATACTGATAGATATTTTGATATATTTTTTTGTATTTAATAAATTAATATTAAAAATTCTTAATATTTTTAAGCTTCTTTTGCTTCAAGAAGAAAAATTTGAATATTTTTTTTTTTAAATATTACAACATTTAAGATATTCACAGATTTCTTTTTTTTTTTTATGTTTAACATCTTTTTTTTTAATATATATAGTTACATCTGTAATTAATAAATATCTTTTTTCTTTCTTTCTTTCTTGTTTTTTTTTTTTTTTTTTTACTATGCCATTAATAGTTTTATAACGTATACAATTAAGAGAGTATCTATTTTCATTTTTTGTCATTTAAAAATTTTTGTAAATAAAATTTTTATAATATAAATTTTCTTAATATATATCTTATTTTTAATATATTTAATATTAAATATTTATATTTTCCATTTATTTTTTTTTTTCATATTGGCATACATCTTTACTAATAATTTTTTTTTTTTTTTTTTGATCTTTCTTTTTTTTCTTTTTTTTTTTTTTTTTTTGTTGATTTTTTTTTTAATTATATTACACTTTTATTAAAAATGCAATTGCAACCTTATAAAATCCCTCTTAAAGAATTTTTAGGAGAATTTTTGGGAACTTTTGTTCTTATGTTTTTTGGTGAAGGTTCCACAGCTAATTATTATACAGCTGGTGCTTCAAATGATTGGCTTAAATTATGTTTAGGTTGGAGTTTGGGTGTATTTTTTGGGGTTTTAGTATCAGCAAAATTAAGTGGTGCACATTTAAATTTGGCCGTTTCCATAGGGTTATCTTCTATTAAAAAATTTGATGCTAAAAAAGTTCCCATATATTTTTTAGGACAAATTATAGGAGCACTATTAGGAACATTTTCTGTGTACAGATTATTTTATGGTTTTGTTCATGCAGAACAAATTCCTAAATATGTTTGGGAAACTGGTAGAAATAAATTAATTAGTTTACAATGTGCATTTATGAATGAGTTATTATTAACAGGATTATTGCTTCTTGTAATATTAGTTGTAACAGATGAAAGTATATGTGGGAAATTTCATGTTTTAAAAGTTAGTACTGTTGTTGGATTAACTATTTTATGTATTGGTATAAGTTTTGGTGGAAATACAGGATTTGCACTAAATCCATCAAGAGATTTAGGTGCTAGACTTTTTTCATTAATGGCATATGGAGGTCAAGCTTTTTCAGGAGATCATTTTTATTTTTGGATTCCATTAATAGCTCCTATTTTAGGTGGTGTTATTTTCTGTCAATTTTATGATAAAATAATTTGTCCATTACTTGATATTCCATCAAGTGAAAAAGATGTTATAGATGTGTGATTTTAAAAAAAAAAAAATGATTCCTAATTACTCATATTACTTAAAGATGTATTTAGTAAAGCATAATTATTAAAATACTTTCTTATATATATATATATATATACATATATATATATATATATTTTTTATAGTATTTTTTTATATTAAATTTTTAAAATTTATGCTTTTATAATTTAATTTTTTTAAAATACCATTTATTATTTTTTACTCCTATATTTTTTTTTTTTTATTCTTTAAAACAACATGCTCAATTGATGTATTTATAATTTAATTAGTTAATATATAAAAAAAAAAATAAAAAAAAATTTTTTTTATTTTTTTTCATATATATATTTATTGTAAAAATTTTGGAAGTATAAAAAAAAAAAAAAAAAAAAAAAAAAATACATTTATGTTTAATTGCACCTACGAACAATTATTTGTCAGTGTTTTTGTTTTTTTTTTTTTTTTTTTATTAACCTTATAGTTATAATATAAAAAGGCATATATTGAATAATTTGGGAAAAAAATATATGTAAAAAAATTAATGTAGTTATATTTTGATGTTTATATTTTTATAATGGATAAATTATTATAAAAAAAATAAAACAAGAAGGTATACATTATCATAAACAGATTAAGAGAATAAACAAAAAAAATATATGTATCTTTAAATAAAATTTTGGGTAAATTAATGGATAAAAAATAAAAATAAATATTATTTTGTCTTCGTTTCATTTTATTTATTATAAATGTGAAGAGGTGTTTTTGAAAATTATTTACATAAATTTTATATAGAGCGCATTTATTAACATTTCTGATTAATTTTCAGTAATTTTTAGTTCGTGAATATTTTCACTTATTTTTATATAACCACTAATTCATAAAATTAATATTTCTTTCTTTAAAAATAAACCAATTTAATAACTAAAAAGTATTATCCTCAAAAATTTATTAATGAAATTTTTTTCTCTCATAAATTTATATTATTGAATTTATTTTTATTTTGTTATATATATATATATATATATATATATATATTTTTTTTTTGTAAAAGTGTAACAAAAAATACAAATTATTTTATTACATTGAAGAAAAAAAAAAAATGAAATAAAAAGAATAGTAAACTTTTAAAAAGTTCTTCAGAATATTTTTAATAACTACGAATATTTTCTTTATTTTTTTACATAAGAAAAGAATTCATATTTATACTTTTTTTCTTATGCTCAGTTTTTTTGTTTAGATTTGGATAAATTTAAAATTTTATCTAAAATTTTTTTATATTTATATCCTTTTTTTTTCTAAAATTTATATAATTTTAACAAAAATAATGTTAAGGTTTAAAAGAGGATTTCCTTATAATAGTTTTAATTTTTTTTATGTTCAAAACTCATTTAAAAAATTTATAACGTATTATACGAAAACTCATGAGTATATTAAAATAAATGAAGAAAATTTAAAAGATTTAAAAAATAAGAATATTAAGTGCAAGATAGGCATAAGCAACTATGGAACTGAAAAATTAGGAGAAATTGTTTATATAGATATAATATATAACATAAATGATTATGTAAAAAAAGGAGATTGTATTGCAACAATTGAAAGTGTCAAAAGTGTAGGTGATGTTTATACTCCTATTAGCGGTAAAATTACCAATATAAATAACAAAATAATAGACAATATTAATTTAATGAATAAAAGTTCTGAATCTGATGGATGGATTATAGAATTGTTAACAAACGATATAGATGAAAAAGAAATATTGGACATTTCTGAATATAAAAAGATATGTGATGAAGAAGAAGAAAAAGAGGAAACAAAAATACAACAAAATGAAATTAATTCATTAGAAGAAAAAAACAAGAATAAGATTTTTGATATAAACGATATTAAAAGCATTGAAGATAAAGAGAAAAAATAAATTAAAATAATGTTTATGAAAATATATCATTTATATATATTACAATTTTTTTTTTTTTAAGTTTAAAATAAGGATATAATATATGAACAACTTAATGTAAGAAAATAATAAAGATATAAAAAGGGGTGAATCATTTTATTTTAAAAGAATGTGGAATAAAAAAGAAAAAAACACTTTTTTTACTTATAATTTTTTTTATTACAAAAAAAAAGGAAAACTTTTGAATATGAGATACATTACTAAAAAAAAAAAAACAGAAAGTTATAAAAGATATGTTTTCATACTAGTTTAGAAAAAACTACTTTTTTACCTAACTTTTAAAGAAGTTATGCATTATATTTTGCCTTAATAAATGAAAACAAAAAAGAAAAAAAAAAAAAAAAACGTAAAAAATAAATATTACTAATAAATTTCAATAAAAAGGATATCGCTAAAATTATGGACAGAAGTACAGTATGAAATAATTTTTTTTTTTTTTTTTTTTTTTTTGGTTTTATATGGTGCAACACTTTTCTGTATGTTCTTTTCCAGAGCTAAAATTTTACTTTTTTTTTGAAAAAATAGTGAAATATAATTATTTCTTTTTAAATCAAGAAAAGAATTACCTTTTACTAAAATGTGAAATTCTTTTATTGTTAAATTTTTATATACAAATTAAAATTTTTTTCTTTAAATGTGCAGATTATATTTTCTTAATTACTATATGAGCAAATATTAAAAAATATGAAATAATTTTTGCTAGCATTATCAAAAAAAAAAAAAAAAAGAACATGCATATACAAAATAACTTTTCGATTGCAACTTTCCCTTAATGCGCATATTCATATAAAAAAAATTTTATTTTATTTTTTTTTTTTATTGTAATTATTATAAATAGAAAAAATTAAAATTATGAATAAATAATCTTATAAAACTTCATTTATTATTACAGTATATTATTTTAATATTAAAAAGAAAAAAATAAAGTATATAGTATCTATAAAATATATATTAGAAAATTTAAATATTTTTATTATATACAATATTTTTTAATTGAAAAGGAGGAGGAACTTTCTTTAAAATTTATATGGTACAATGAGATTAAAAAAAAAATAATAAAAAGACAAAAAGAAAAATTAAATAAATAGAAATATAAATATATATATACAAATAATTGCAAAATTGTTTTAATTTTTTCAGACAATCTTTTTTACAGTCTTTTAAATTATCAAGATGTGTTGCTGTATATGTGGTTTACTATTCTTAGCATTAATTGCTATAATTGTTGTATTAATTCTAAAAGGAATTATAAAATTGTCTTAACAAAAATGTTTGGGAGATAAAAAGGACAAATTTTTTTATGAAATCATATTTTGTTTTTCTTCGTGTACAATGAATTAGATAAAATGATTTTAAATTCTAAAAGAACAAAAATTTAGATAAAAACTTTTTTAGTCTAATATTATAAAAGTGGAAGCCACATTTAATTTAAAATGTAACTTGGAAATTAAGAAAATATTGAATAACTATTGTAAAATTTTTGAAATCATAAAAAAATGAGATATCTCAAGAAATTGTTTTATTTTATTTATTTATTTTTTTTTTTTTTTTTTTATAGTATTCATCATTTTAGTAATTTTATTATATTTTGATATTCTGTGTTTCCATATATTCTATATAATATTTTATTTTTACTTTTTATTTTATCACATTTAGCATTACTTTAATTCTAATTTATATTTTTTATCTTAACACTATTTTATGTTTATTTTATATATATATATATATGTATGTATGTATATAAGGGGATTTTTGTTTAAATTACTTATGTATTTTATTAAAGGTAATTCTATTAAAAGGTGATATGTAAAATGTTTATATGCCAAGATTATTAAAAAATGCTAATATTTTTTTAAATAGTGAAATTAGAAATAAAATTTTAAAAATATTGAAAAAAAAAAAAAAAATGAGATATTAATATATATTTAAATATAATTTTTCCTGATTTTTGTCACAATGCTAATTTTTTCAAAATTTTAATTATGTGAATTTAAAGATAAACATGAATTTTTAGTATAATATAGTTGTAGAAAAGAAGAATGAAACTAAAAAAATAATTAATAGGGTAAAATTTTATATAGTTATTTATAATATATATATTTTTTTTTTTTTTTTTTTTTTTTTTCATGCATATAAAAAGTGTTTATAAAAAAATAGAAAATAATTCAATTAATTGTAGTACTCAATTTTTTTTTTTTTTTTATTTAAATAAAATGAATTTTAGAAGTTAAAAATTAAATATAATAAATAAGTTTTTATTCTTATGATTTCAATATGAATATAAAAAATATTTTACTTTAAATTTCATGGGTAATATTTTTTATAAAAATAAGGTAAATGGTATTTCTGTAAAAAAAATTAAAATTTTTTTTTTGTTTTATTTAAAGAACATAATATGTAAATTAATTTTTTTTTTTTTTTTTTTTTTTTTTTTGCTTAATACTAAAATAAATATATAAGTAATAAATATTTTTTTAATTCATCTACTAAAAAAAATTACAATGAAATACGATTGAATACAGTTGAAATATAAAAATATATTTTATGATAAGCAAGTATAAGAAAAATATATAATAAAAAATAATATTTATGAATTAACTTTTAAATTAAAATGAAAACAAATGCATTTGAAAAAAAAAAAAAGAGTAATAAAAAAAGAAATATTATAAGAACAAAAAATTGTAGAAATTTACCACCATCAACAGATTCAAATGATAGGTATAATAACATTTTAAATTATTATAAAAATGAAAAAAAAACAAATAAATTTATTGATAAAAGAAAAATCAAAAGTATCTATAAAAATAGAAAATCTGAAAAAAAAAATATTTTTAATTTAAACGATGACTTCTTATTAAAAGATAAGCATATAAGTACAAATGATATACATTCAGAAAGTATACAATATGATAGTTCAAAAATTGGTGATGAAAAGATAAAAGATAATTTAAATAATATAAAGAGAAGTAACATAAATAATTCAATACAAGAAAGAATTAATCAGAAAAAATTAAAGCAACTTAAAAAATTTGAAATAAAAGAGAAACTACGTGAAATAGATGAACATTTTGAAGACATTAAAAAAAGTGTACTTTGTTTAAATAATAAAAATAATGAAATAAAAAATAGATATTCAGTAAATATAAAAAAAAAATTAAACGACATTTTAGATAAATATAATGAATCAGAAAAACCTATAGAAGAGAAAAAAAATAATTATATTAAAGAAGATAGTTTTAAAGAATATTTAAAGAATAAAACAGAAGATCAATTAATAAATTCAAATAATAAAAATATAAAAAAAAAGATTCACAAAATTGAAAAGGAGGAAAATAAAAAGGACAATGAGATTTTAAAGAAAAATGATAAAAAGATAGATGTTAATGAATATAAAAAAAGAAAAATACAAGGTAAGGGAGAAGAAGAAGAAGAAGAACAAGAAGAAGAACAAGAAGAAGAACAGGAAGAACAAGAAGAAGAACAGGAAGAAGAACAGGAAGAAGAGGAAGAAGAAGAGGAAGAAGAGGAAGAAGAACAAGAAAAGGAAGAAATAGAAGAACAGGAAGAAGAACAGGAAGAAGAGGAAGAAGAAGAGGAAGAAGAAGAGGAAGAAGAGGAAGAAGAACAAGAAAAGGAAGAAATAGAAGAACAAGAAGAAGAACAAGAAAAGGAAGAAATAGAAGAACAAGAACAAGAAGAAGAAGAACAAGAAGAAGAACAACAAGAAAAAGAAGAACAACAACAAGAACAAGAAAAAGAAGAAGAACAAGAAGATGAAAAAGAGGAGGAAAAAGAGAAAGAGAAAAAAGAAAAAAAAAATGAGAGAAAAATAAAAGATAATCAATTTTCCCCATGTCCAAATGATTTACAAGAGAATGAATTAACCAATATTGAAAGTGATAAAAATAAATTATATACGTATGACAATCAAAATTATAAAAATAAAGAATCATATGTATTTTCTGAAGAAAAAAAGGAATTTAAAGATTCATATAATATAGATTATGATTCTGTTGATTATTTTTCTGATGAAAGTGATAATGAAATTATAAATGATATATTTAAAAAAGAATTGCCATTAAGAGAAACAAAAAATATATCAAACGATAAAATAAAAAAAATGATAGACAAATTTTTAATTAATGATAATAAAAATATTTGTAACTATTTTTTTAATGATTTAGAAGAAGAAAAAAATAACTTACCAATATATATATCTATTGAGAATAAGGAATATGAACTGAAAGATGTTATACATTTGCTAGATTCTCACAGTTTTAGTTCACAAAAAAAATTATTATATAGAATATACTATATAAATATGTTTAATAAAAAAAAAAAAGAGAATATATTTCACTCTTCTTTTTTTTTCTCATTAATGGATTATTTCATACTTAATATATACAAATGCTTAAAATATAATTTGAAATTAGTAGATTTAATTAGAAATTATAAAGATATCATTATAGACTTTTCTTCTGAATTAAAAACAGAGTTGCATTTATATATTTCCTTCTTATTATTAATTCTTTTTTGTAAAATTCAAAGAAGAATTAAAGCAATTAAATTTTATAAAAGTAAAAAAAAGGTTTTAGAGGACTATATTGATTTAAATAAGAATAATGAAGACAAGAAATATAATGTTAAAGTTTACTCAAAAATATTAAAAAGTGCTGAATTATTTGAATACATTTTTGAAAAATATAGTGAAGCTCATAATATATCATATATTCATTTCTCTTTAATTTTTTTAACATTAACCATGTACCCAATAAATAAATACAATGTTATTTTTTCTAATAGTCAAAAGGATAACATGGAAACAATAATTAATGATTATTTATTAGATATAAATAAAAACAGCGTAGAAGATGAAAAACTTTTGAATAAATGTCTATATTTGAAGGAGAATAATTTCACTGGACAAGATGAAAAACATCCCTTTATAACTTATATTATTGAATTAATTGAATTTACCTTTTTTAATTATTTTTATTCTTATAATACCAATTTAATTCATGAAAGTGTTTTTCAAAATTATGACTATATATTTAATAATGATACATATTCTAATTTTAATAATATTAATGAATGTATTAAAAATATTGAAAACAAATTTTCATATAAGTGCTTTGAAAATGATATAAGTAATATTAAAGGTGAAGATGAAGAAAAGAAAAAAAATGAAATAGTAAATTATCTGGGAAAATTTAATAAAAAAAAAGAATTAAAAAATGCAATTATTCTACTAAATATCTATAATATAGTTATAGAAAATAGTAAAAAATATAGTCAGAGCTTTTTTTATTTGTCACTAAAAATTCTGAATACACTCTTGTATAATATTACATATGAAAAGCAAAAAAAAAATGAAAATGCAGAAAAAAAAGAGAACTGTTATACAAATAAAAAAAAATATAAAAAAAATAAAAATTACTTATACAAATTATCTTTTTTTACTTTAAGAAATTTGTTTTTGTTTTTAAAAATATATATAGAAAATGAAATTAATATTTATATTTTAATAAATCATATAATTATTCCAAGTTTATTTTATTTGTATATTAATTTTTTAAAATTTGTAATCAATTTTAATATAAAAATTGATTTTGTAAAATTAATTAATAAATTTAAAAGTGTGAATATCACAGAAGATTTATTTAAAAATAATGATTTTATCCAATGCAAAAATAATCAGAAATATTTTATGTTGTTATTACATTTATTTAAATTAATTCAGTATTCTCATATTTACGATATTAAACCCATAGTATATAAAGATAATAGCAAAAATGTCATAACATTATTTACTCCAAGATATGTTAACAATAAAAATCAGAAAGATTTCATTTTTATGCATAATAATCAAACAAAATTGTTAGAAATGAAATCTTTAAAAAAAAAGATGAAACAACAGAAAAAATTAGACTACAATGAAGTAATATATGAAAATACAATATTTATTTTTTTTTTTTTTTTTTTTCATAGCTTATTTATTTGATATATTTTTACATTGTTACATATTAATATATATAAATATTTACCTATATTTATATGTTTTATAATTTATGTATATTTATATATATTTAATTTCCTTTTTTTTTTTTTTTTTTTTTTGTAGTTAAAAAAGGAAAACAATTTTATTATAGGATTAAAATCAAAAGAAGAATATGAAAGAAAAAGAAGAAATAAAGAAAGATATAAAAAAGTAAAATCAATGGCACAGCAAGACATAGAAGAATATAATAAAATGAAAACTTACACCCATTAAAAGGAAATAAAAAAAAAATTTAAGAAAAATTTTTAAATATATTAGATAATTAAAATTTTCATATCTTTTATTTTATACATTTTTACTGTAATTTGGTCTTATTTATATCTTATTTGTTTCATAATTTAAACATATCTTTATTATTTAGATTAACACTTTAATTATTTTCATATCCATGGAATTTAATAATAAATATTAATTTTGTCTTAAAAAATTTTAAACATTTAAAAGAAAAAAAAAAAAAAAAAATTAAACATATATGCATATATATTTGTATAATTAATTATATGCAATAATAAGATTAATAATAAATGCAGATTTTTAATACATTTAAAAAAGTAAAACAAATTATGACATAAATCATAGACATATTATTAAATATTTTTTTTTGTCTATATACGAATAAATTTAAAGGGAAATAAAAGATGCAAATTCATAATAAAAATTTTTAATATAAAAAAAAAAAAAAAAAAAAATTGTTACCTTGAATAATATCATTTTTAATAATTTAAATAACATTCTCAGCTAATTCTGTTGTATTTGACATACACAATTATCAAAAATGTTTATATATATATATAATATATATATATTTCATAAATTTTTTTTTTTTTTTTATAAACATATATATGTTTACTTTTCAAAAATATTTTTGTTAAAAAAATATGCCAGAAACTTTATTTTTATTTTTTTTTTGGTGATTCAAAATTGAAATCTTCATTAATCATATTGCGGATATCTTTTAATTTTAATCCACACCACTCATATTTATTTATATAATTTGATGTATAATGTTTTTCATATATTTTATTCTGCATAGAAATATGATCATATAAATTATTTATATTAGTTCTAATTTTTATTATACTAGAAATATTTTCTTTTATATCCTCATAAAAGGTATTTGAAATTAAATCTCTCCAACCTTTTCTTTTAAGTAATCCTAAACTTTCTCTTTCTTCTTTTTTTGGAATCATATAATACATATATAGTTCACTACAGCCTGTTAGAAAAAAAAAAATATATTTATACTTTAAAATTATTTATTCTTTCTATTTTTCTCTCTTTTTTTTTTTTTTTTTTAAATTTTTTAAAGAGTACCTATAATACGTTCACAAGACTCCTCCAAATCAGAAGCACAATTTTTTATAGAAGTACATGAGCAATTATTGGATAGTTCAGTATTTTTTCCAATATTTTCTTTTTGAACATTTTTTAAATTTATATCGTAATGAAAAAAATAATTATCTGTATCATAATGCATGTTTAAACACATATATTTATATGAACAAAGTAATAAATAACATTGTCTTGGAAATATGTCAATATCACTAAAAATTATGTACAAGAATTTATAAGAGGTTTCATTATTATCCTTATTTTTATTTATTTCATTATTTTTTTTACCATTTATATATACTTCATCATCATTAGTTTCTTTAATATCATTAGTAGTTTTGTTAGTATTATCATCAACATTATTGGAGGAATTATTTAAAAGAGAGGCGCATTTTTTGTTAAAATTTAAAAAAAAAGTAGATGGATATTGATAAGCTGCAAAATTACTAAAATAATTATCTTCTGGATTTTTTTTCTTATCTTGAATTTGATGCAACTTATCATAAAAACTAATTTTCTTTTTTTTTTTTTGTTTATCTATTTCCTTAATTTCATTAATTACATTTTTTTGAATAATATGTTCTTTATGGTTAGTTGGATTCATTAATTGATTACATACAATTTTATTTTCAGAGCATATATTATTATTTAAAAATGCTTCTAAAATAACTCTTGGTAAAAATGCACACAGAATATAATAAGTTGATTTTGCACTCAAAAATGGATGAGCCCAAATAGATTTGATATTTAATTCGGATGTATTTAAATATTCAATTAAGCAACCACATATTATTTTTGATATATGAATAGAATTACCATCAACAGCCGTAGTAAAGGAATTAGTATTTAAAGTAATTATAATACCTGAAAAATCATCTAACAATATATCATCATAACTATTTTGTATATTTTCTAACAATCTTTTGTCCAATTCTAACAGCTGAAAAGGTAAATTTCTATTTCTAATATCATTCTTTTTATTAATTAAATTCTCTACATAACTCCAATTAATTAACATTTTTTCATGTAAAAAATGACGATGTCTGTATATATTTGAATATTTAAAAAAATTTAAGCTACTACTTAAAATTACATCAATTTTTTTCTCTTTTATTTTAATTTCTGTTATTACTTCTTTTAACTTTTTGTATTTTAATTCTTCATTTTTTATCTTTTTGTATTTCATATAGTTTTCTTCTTCATTATTATTAGCTGTTAAATCGTTTATTAGATTATGTATGAACTTACTTTTAATATTTTTTCTTTTATTGCTAGGATTATTATCTACATTAACATTCATATCATTTTTCACTTCATCAGTAGTTCTGTTATTTATTGTATCATTTTCGAATTCATTACTTATTTTATTTTCGTTATTATTTTTAATTTCATTGATATCTTCGCTTTTAAAATCTTCTTCTTTATTTTCATTTTGATTCATTTTTTCGAATAAATTCAAAAATTTTTTATATTCCTTTTCCAAAACATCCTTAGTGCTATCACTTAAATAATTTAAATTGTCGTAACATCTATTTTTTTCATATTTTTTTTCAATTTTTCTTTTTCTTTTTACTGGATTTTTGTCATTTTTTTTTTCCTCTTCCTCTTCCAAATTATCATGCAAGTAATTCATTTCATTATTTATAACATTACTCTTTTGTTCTGAAATGAAAGATAACTCATTTTCATCAATAACTGTTTCACAATTATTAATATCATAATCCTTTTTTTTATCTATTTCACTCATATTATCATTTTTAATTTCATTGTTTTTATAATAATTTAAGTTAATATCATTCACTGAATTGTTTTGATTCTCTAAAATATTAATTTTTTTAACTTCATTTTTATTTTCATCTTTACTTATATCTGCTTCAGTTTTTGTATTCAAAAGATTTGGTTGTTCTTCATCTACAGCCACTTCTTTTGATATTCCGCTTTCATTTTTATTTTTTAATTTGACAGATTTTTCTTCTTTTTTTAAGTTTTCCTTTTTTAACTTTATTTCATTTTTGTAATCATTTATTATATTTACAATTTTTTTTTTCTTTTGAATAAGTAATTTTAAATCATCTGGAATATTAATAGGCAAATGCTCAATTTTAAGATTTAAATTGTACTTTTTAAAAAATTCGTTGGTTTCATTAATTAATTTTTTCCTTTGATCAATTGCAAAATCAGGAAGTTTTAATTTAAAATCATTTGTATAATTTTCATTTTTAATATCACTCATTTCAGTATCATTATCCATATTATCATTTTTTTTCGGAGTTTTATTCGTTTCACTATCATAATTTTTACTTTTGTTAATACTATTTTCCAAATTTACATTTTCCAAACAATTTTCCCCTTTATCATAGTTAACATTAATTGATACAATATTTTTTTGATTAGATTCTTTTACTTTCATATTATTTTTGATTGGACTTTTTGTAAAGTTATATGTATTCAAAGTTGAATTACGGTTATTTGGTGAATATTTATGAAGTTCATCTAAATCATTCTTCGTTATTTTACTATCATTACTATCTTTATTACTATTGCTTTTGATATTGTTATTATCACTATTATGGTTTTCATAACCATTGCAATTATTATCATTATTAAAATTTTTTTCTTCATTAATTTTATTATCATTAATAATTGCTAATTCTTCACTTTGGGTTACTTCTTCTTTGTTGTTACTATCATTTTTTATATACTTAAATATATGTTGGTTTTCTTCAGTTTTCATATTTTTGTCTAATATATTATTGTCTTTGATTGATTTATATGATTGTGGAATGTAACTATTCTTTTCATCAATTTTCTCATTTGAATTTTCATGAAGATTATTATGAAAAAATTCATTTCTTTTAGTTTTATTGTCATTCATATCGATATATTCATTTACATTGTAATCATATGTTTTTTGACTTTTATTTATTATATTTTCACTTAAGTTATTATTATCATTCTCATTGTAATCCTTTTCTTCTTTGTCATATTTTTCTGTAATATTTCTTTCATTATTTTCAACATTATTATTATTATCTTCATCTTTCTTATTTTCATCACTTTCATGAAATTCGTTAGCATTTTTTTCTACAGATATATTTATACTTTTATTGAAATTCTCATATCTCTTATCTTTTTTTTCATTTTTCTCTATTAAAATTTTAAAAATTTCATCAATTCTATTTACCTTTTTATCGTTCTCATTATTTTTTAAAAAATTTAAATTATCTTTATCATTGATTATTTTATCATTCATTTTTTGTTTTTTTAATTTTTTTTTTTCACTCAAGCTTTTTAATTTTTTACTTGTATTGCTATCTACTCTTTCAATACAATATGTTTCATCTTTTTTATGTTCCTTACATTCATTACTACTATTTTTTAATTCTTCTTTTATATTATTTTTTTTTGTATCAATTAAATTATATTTTTTTCCTTTTTTTAAACATTCTGGTGACCCATCTTTTTTACTAGATTCATTGGATTTTTTTTCATAGGCATTTAAGTTTTTTTCTTTACTTTTAGTCATATAATCATCTAATGTTTTATTTTTCTTTTCTTTTTGCTCTTTTTTATTTGAAATAAAATCGCATAAATTGGGAGTATTTGAAGAATTTATGTTTAATGCATTACTATCTTTCTTTAAATTATTTTGATTTATATAATTCATATCACAGTTCTTTTTAATTTTAATAAAGTTATCAATTAAATAAACATTTTCTTTGTTGTGTAATCTTATTAATTTTCTTTTTTTACTAGCATTCTTATCATTATTTTGATCTAAATTTTTGTCACTATTTTTTATAATAATCTGTTTAAAACTATTTGAATTATCATTTACTTTTTTATTTTTGTCAACGAAACAATTTAACACATTTTTATTTTTATTCTTTTCTTTCGTAGACTTGTAATCTTTATCATTATCAGTTAAATTAACATCTTTATTTTTATTATTAGTATCTTTATTCAAAATTGCAAAAACATCCTTTACTTTTTTTTTAAAATAGTTTTCCATTATTAAATATTAATAAAATTTTTATTAGGTTCAATTTTTCTTTTTCAATAATATAAAAAATAATAATATTATATTAGCATACTTTTCAATTAAAAAAATTTTTTTAAATATATGAAAATTTTTACAAAATATTTATATCTATTTATTTATCTTATTTTTTCTTTTATTCATTTACTTTACAAATATGTAAACGAATATGGAAAAAAAAAAAATACCCATATATATATGTATATATATATATATATATATATATATATATATATATTATATTATATTAATATATATATATATATATATTTGTATGCTTGCTACATGAAAAAATTCATGTATAAGAAAAAAATAAAAAATACATTAAAATAAAAAAAAAAAAGAAAATAAGTAAGAGTGAAAAAAGAGATGAAAAATATATTTATAATTAAAAATTAAAAATACATTTATGGTTATGCAATTTTTAAAATTTTTTTGGTAATTAAATTGCATATAGTTCTATATATATATAAAAAAAAAAGTAAATATAAATCCTTTTCATTTATTTCAAAAAAAAATTTTAAATAAAAATTAAAATGAATAACAGTTTAAATTAAATATGTGTAAAACAATTTTTAAATATTCTTTTTAAAAACACATAAATACAAAAAAAAAAAAAAAAAAAAAAAAAAAAATAATCAGCAAAATGTGGTTAAATGTATTTAAGAAGTTCAAGAGTNATAACAGTTTAAATTAAATATGTGTAAAAAAATTTTTAAATATTCTTTTTAAAAACACATAAATAAAAAAAAAAAAAAAAAAAAAAAAAAAAAAAAAAAAAAAAAAAAAAAAAAAAATAATCAGCAAAATGTGGTTAAATGTATTTAAGAAGTTCAAGAGTATTATTCTAATTTTTTCATTTTTATTCTTTGCATTTATATAAACCTTTTTATAATTTATAATTATATATTTATAAAATTTTCATGACTAAAAATTTTAATACTTTATTTACATTCAAAAGAAAATACATTAAGATATAAAAATAATTTCAAATTATTAAGCAATCTAGATTATATTAATATTAACCTAATTTAATATTATGAACACTTTTACTACACATATAATAATGATATTATAAAAAATAATATTCATATTTCATATTCTTTCGTTATGCATATACGGAAGTAGATACCGTTAATTTAAAAATGGAAATGTTAAAAAAAAAGAAAAAAAAAATTGTGTAATCATTTTTTTCAGATTTAGTATTCTAATAATAATATTGATGATTATATTATAGGTATTGTCATAAAAACTTCTTTTAATATATTAGTTTTTCTTTATTTTTCATTATATAATTGTTTCTGTTGTTAAAGTAATGCATTTTAAGTAATTTTAATGTACCAATTTTGCATTAAAAAAGTAAATTAAGAGATATATATAAAGTTCTCTCTTGGAATCATTAAGGTGTTATTTTCATATATATTATCATTTATATATATTTGAAATAAATATATATTAATTTTAAGAAAATACATAACAGAAAATTTTTTTTATAAGACATTATACATAGTTTTCCTCATATAAAACTTAATCTTTGAATTCTTATATACATATAAGATTCATATTCTATTTTGAAAATATATATATTCTTTTAAAAAAAATTTCTAATGTGTAAATAAAAAATTATAATATAGTTATACTATATAATAATTTTACTTTTTTTTTTTTTTTTTTTTTTTTCTTTTTTCTATT